TGGACAATAGAACGGTTTTCATTTTTTTACTCAAAAATTTCGCATCGAAGGAAAACAATTCAGGAGAGATCATTTGTTTTAAATTGATCGGAGAATTCAAGAATAATTTTTATTTGCCAAAAAACTATATGGAATATGGAAACTGACCCAGGGGGGTCAGGAAATGGCGCTTCCACCATGGCAATGGAGATGGAGCCGAAGGAGCAGACCATAGAGGAGCTGAGAGCCGAATTAGAGATGGTTCGACAGGAGCTGTCAAAAAAGGACGATGATAAGAAGACCAATGAAAGATTGATGATGATCATCGAAGCCCAGCAGCGGACAATTACTGACCTAACAGTTAAATTAGACCTCCTACTGAAAACCCAGGTACCTTCCCATCTAAATATTACAAATTCTTCCCAAACACTTCCCAAAAATCCCAGTAAAGACAAAGCTGTCAATCTTAAGAGACCGTTAAATAACTCAAGCGATCTTTCCACAGACGACGATACACTCCCTGACGGTTTTACCAAGGTTAAGCCCCGTAAAACGCGACGAAACAAGACCGACACGACAGGCTTTCCTCCTCTCCCTTCACCAAAATCGCAGTCTGAAACATCTCATTCAACTGCAAGCGACTCGAATAAACAGCCTGTGCCTAATCTATCGGATACTTCCACGCCTTCGACATCTCAGGTACCAGAAGACACGACTGCACAGCCCCCACGCAAGGTACGTGTTACCCCCATCGTTCTTCGTGATGCTTCGAGATGGCGAGGCGTAAATCACAAGTTTATTTCCTTGGGCATCAAATTCGAACGCGCGGTTGCCGTCGATGCGGGAATCAGGATAATTCCCAAGTCCGAGGATGATTACCGCAGGATTATTCGTCTCTTCAGGGAGGAAGAGGTGCCCCATCACACTTTCCCTCTACCCTCCGAGAGGAACATTCATGCTGTAATCAGAGGAGTACATGCGACACTTTCGGAAATTGAGATCAAGGAAGAGTTGCAACAGAGGGGATATTCCCCCCTGCACATAATTCGCCTGAAACGCGGTGGCGGCGTGCCCATGCCTTTGGTGGTAGTCATACTGCCCAAGATAGAAAAATCTCAGCAGCTGTTCAACGAACACGAGCTGCTAGGTTTGGCTATCCGAGTCGAAGTTCAAAAGAACTCAAGACTCATCGGGCAGTGTCACCGCTGCCAAAAAATATGGGCATGCGCAATCTTACTGCACTGCACCACCTAAATGTCTAAAATGTGCCTCTGACCACATGACCCACTTATGCCCTCAAACAGAACAAGAGGAACGAAAGTGCGCGAACTGTGGAGGGGGGCATCCAGCGAATAGCCGAACTTGCAGATTTGCCCCTAAGAAAAATCTGCAAGTGATAGCGCAAAGGCGCAATGTAAGTTACGCGGATGCAGCTAGGGATGCAACCCGGGCTGCCCCCTCTGTGGGATCTTCTGCGAACACGCAAAATGTGGACCTGGCAACCGCGCTAAGGTCCAGCAGATCATAGGTCCTCTGATTAGCGCAACACAGGCTTTGCAGGCGATCTTTCCTGCAAATGGCTAGGTACAATCGACGACAGCCTGCATTTATCAAAATTCTTTTTTGGAATTGTTTGGGTCTAAGGGACATTCCCAAAAGACGGGAATTTCATCAAGCTCTTGTGGACGAAAGTATAGATGTGGCCTTGCTGCAGGAAACATTACTTAATCCGGGAGATCGTCTAGCTTTCCCGAATTACGATGTTATCCGGGCTGATAGATTGACTGGACGGGGTGGCGGCTTGGCAGTGCTAGTGAAACGCGGTATTGACTACCACAGAAGCACAAACGCTGACATGCAGAGCATCGAAGCGGCTTCCGTGGTGGTGAATATGACGGGAGGTGTGCCGTTAAAAATCACATCGGTGTATGTCAGGTGTGGTAACAGGCTGCAAGAGGCGGATCTGGAAGTCCTTTTAGACTACTCGGGTCCACTTATTGTGGCAGGGGACTTCAACTGCAAACATCGAGCATGGCATTCCAGGTTGAATTCCACCAGTGGGATCCGACTGTACAACCATGTGATACGAAATGGCTACCTCATACATAGTACTGAGGAGCCGACGCACCACCCATTTAATCACCTTCAGGCACCTGATGTTCTTGATTTGGCATTATCCAAAAACTGTAGCTACAGCATCACTTCTCGAATCATGTATGACATCTCAAGCGATCATCTTCCCGTCGTTTTGGAAGTGGCTAATGAGCAGATCTTGGGGGATGAAATCCCTCCAAGGAAACGCATTGATTGGGAGCTATACAAGTCGCTCCTCAAAGAGTTCCCCAATATACCGATCATAGATGATGAGAACGGTATAGATGCGGCTCAAGCAGAGTGGACAAGTTTTGTTCAGCAAACTCTGCAGCGTGCAGCTGTACTTCCCGTGCAGCGACACGGCAGACCTTTTCTGCCAGCAGACATTCGTCAGAAAATTTCTGATAAAAGAGCTGCAATTAAGCAAGCGAAAAGGTCTTGTCATCCTGATGACATTCGCAGAGCGACGAATCTTGTTCATGAAGTAAGAAATGCTCTTCATGAATTCCGCAATGAGCAATGGAACGACTTTCTGGCGGGGATGCTTGACTCAAGCATTCCTCTCTGGAAGGTGGCGAAGTCGCTCAAAAACGGAAAGCGTGAACAAATCCCACACATTCACGGTCCTGGAGGCATTGTCTTCAGGACAGAGGAGAAGGTTGAGGTTTTCGCCGATGCCATGGAAAGACAGTTCTCTCCCAACTATGATCTTGATAATGACCTCGACGAGGAGCAACACATCGTAAGATCTGTCAGGAGATATTTTAGGGCCAACGGCGTCAGTGACAGTCGCGCATTCGTTGGTGATTTTTCTTCATCAGAAGATTCTTCTTCAGAAGCTTCTTCAACCGAAGATTTGCTTAGCACATCAGCGGTATCTCCTGAGATCCCGCATTGCACACCAGCAGAGATTCAAGGTCATATTAAAGACCTTAAAGTGCGTAAAGCACCTGGGGAGGATCAAATCACTAATAAGGCGCTGAAGCTGCTTTCGCGGAAGTCCTTAACTTATCTCGTGGCAATAGTCAATGCCATGCTCAGGATCCAGTACTTCCCATCCGCGTGGAAGACCGCTGAAGTTATAATGATTCCAAAGAAGGTGGGTTCGATATTTCCCCAGGATTATCGTCCCATTAGCCTGCTGTCAGCTGCGTCTAAGCTCGCTGAAAAGGTGATTCTACGTCACCTTGAGAATTTCTCGTCAGATCACCATGTGATTCCTGACGTGCAATTCGGTTTTCGGTCTGAACATAGTACGGAGCTACAGGCGGTTAGGCTGGTGGAACGTGTAACCAGAGGATTCACCCTTAACGAAAGTACTGGCATCTTGCTTTTGGATGTCTCAAAAGCATTTGACAAGGTGTGGCACGCGGGCCTCTTGTATAAACTAATCCAAAAGGGCTTCCCTTTTTGGCTTCTAAAACTACTGAAATCCTTCCTTGAAGGTAGGAAATTTCGGATCAAAATTGACAATGTGCTGTCGACAACACGGCTGATTACAGCCGGCGTCCCTCAGGGTTCGGTCCTTGGACCTATCCTTTACTCACTGTACATCCATGACGTCCCTAGTCCCAGCAACTGTGAAGTCTATCTCTATGCTGACGATACTGCATTGGTGGCTCAGTCGTGGTCTGGTGACCTAGTCCATGACAGGCTGCAAAGTGCGGTGGAAGAAGTATTAGATTGGGCGGATCGGTGGCTAATTAAAATAAACCATTCGAAAACGCAGGCAATCTACTGTACAAAAAGACGTCGCGGCGTTCCGTCTGAAGTTTCAATGAATGGACTTCGTATACCATGGGAATCCTCCGCTAAGTATCTCGGTGTCATTCTGGACAAAGGGATGACTTGGCGGAACCATATGGAAGCGCTAAAAACTAAATTCCAAATTACGTTTCGGCAGCTTTACCCATTATTATGTAAACGGTCAAAATTAAGTTTGATTAACAAGATTCGACTCTATAAGGTGGTCATAAGACCAGCAATGACATACGCATGTGCGGCTTGGTGTTTTATTGCTAAAACACACATGCGAAGTCTGCAGGTTCTGCAAAGCAGGACGTTGCGCACTATTGCTGATGCCCCATGGTATGTCTCTAACGAAACTCTACATAGAGACCTCGATGTCCCTTACCTAAAGGACTACATTAAGCAACAGGCGCAGCGGCGCTATAGCCTAGCGGAATCGCACAGCAACCCTCTGTTGCGTGATTCAGTGGACTACACAGTCGAGCAAGTTCGCAAGCACAAAAGGCCGCGGCTCGCACTGTAATCAAAATTAACTCGTGAACTTAGAACAACCAAAATTTGAGCATTTTTACACAATCTTTAGAAAAAATCAAATATTTTTAGACCATATCAAAATCTGTGAAGCGATTTTAACAATGCCTAAACGCTGCATATCCTAAAAGATTCTCTTCTTCCCCTTTGCTCTCGTTCTTCCTTCTCTCCTTTCCTTCCCCTTTTTTCCTTAAAATTGTCTGGTTTCTGGGTTACCAGACCTGACAGACTTACAAACTGACACTGTGACTCAAGAGCTAAGGTCCCACGGACCGCTCTGACAACCAACGATGACTTGACAAAACTATTTTTTTTTCTTGAAAAATATCGAAGTCAATACCCGTACGCACGCCACTGTTAAAGCTATACATTATTTTTGCATTGAAAAATATGCAACTTTATTAACTTTCACTACGTACTAAATATCAGTGAATTATCTGAAGCGGTTCTGAAAATATTAATTAATTTCCATTTTTTTCCTAAAACTTCAACACCCCGAGTTTTTGTAAGGAAACATTTTTGGACCATAGTTTATAAAGCAAACTAACATTAATTTTTAGATTTGTAGATTCACACCCTTAAATATTCGCATATCATTAAGGAACACCCAATATACTAATATTGTAACAGTTCTCACTATTTTTGTTAGACCATGACCTAATCCTACTACGCGTCATACGGAAGATTAAGTGTCAATTTGACAGAAAGTTCGATGTGACAAATTCACCTGTCAAAATCGGTCGACCCCACGCAAGAGTCAGAATAGAGCGATGGACATACTTCGTATCTTCCGGATGAATGAACCTGTCTCTAAAGAGTTGCTTTCGAAAAAGGACGAGCTTGGACAGTACAAAGAAGTGGTGCAAGAAAAAGATGTACTGCTTAAAAATCATCGAGCTAGAATAAAGGAGTTGGAAAAAGAGGTAGCTGATCTCAAAGCTAGGGATGCCAAATTAGAGAACCACTCAAGGTAAGGTATTGTTGATTAGGTATGTAATAGTTTAAAAAATGTCCATTCATCTTATTTTTTGTGAACTAGAAAATTATGGTATATCTATTGCTAATTGAAACCGAAAGAGAAAGCTCTAAATGAAAGAGAGCTAGCTCTACATCAGTCTCACGGTTTAGATACATACAAGGTTTGTCAGTTAAGTGATCAGACTGTTTTTTTTTTTAATTTTTGTATTCAAATATAATTACTATATTCTTATTACTTTCTCTTGAAGCCGCACAGCGCTGGAGACGGTTCTTCCTCTCCTCGTAGCAGTGCTGGAACTCTGATACTAACCTTCAGCTGGTCAGTTACAGCCATTTGAATGTTTTCAACTGTCCCAAAATGAGTTCCCATGAGGTGATTTTTCAACTTCGGGAAGAGAAAAACGTCACAAGCACTCAAGTCAGACGAATAACGAGGCTGAGGAGACGAATGTTGTTACTGGCCAAAAACTCGTTTATTGACATTATTGTGTGACAAGGAGCATTATGGTGATGCAACACCCAGTTGTTCTTGATCTAATAAACGGCGGAGTGAATAAAATTTAACTCTTCCCCGATCACTCTGACTGCCAATCGACGGACGATCTGAAATGCACCAGATCCCGGTCGATATTTCCATCAGTTCTTGAAGATGAAGGCCTTCCGCTTCCGTGGTTCAGTCGACTCTCTCCCTTCTGAAAATGCCTTAAACCACAAAAAAACCGGGTCTCCGTAGGCCTGCAAAAGCTTACCAAGAATTCCTGTTGCACTGTGTCTATGTCTGAAGCAAAACCTGTTAACACACCGTTGGTCGAAATTGATGTCATTCATTTTCAGAACACAAGAGGAAAAACTGTCGCCCTTCCAAGCCCGACGCCTCCTGTGTTGCCAGATCGAACGCTACGTTGCTAGTCTCATCACTTAATTTACAGACCTCGTATGTATGCATGACTACTGGAAATTCTCCGTATTCCTACCAGGACGAGATAGGCCTAAAATGCAACAAATTTTAAACTATATGCATGTATGTAAAGATGAAAGTCAATAGTTTTCGAGGCTTTTCAGTCTGAAAAATAAAAAACTATGTGATATGGATATGGGTGAGGCGGCGATTGATTTCAGTTGTATTCAAATAAGTGGTTGTAACCATACAGCACGAAAATAGAATAAGTTATTCTAAAAAACAGTATAGTTTCGTTTTCAGTTTCTTTCAGACCAAGGTTGTGTCAAGGTCGAAAAAGTTGCTAATACATTGCGCATACAAATTACTTGAAAAACTTGCCCATAATGCCAGCTTTCCAAAAAGGTTTTAACAGTATGAGAGCATTAATTTTTCCACAAATAGTTGCTCAAGCCAATGAAGGTCTAAATAATCCCTTAACTGAATGACTTTAATAGCTGTTTCAGATTAATGTACTTCAATTCGATCTTGTTTGAAATGAGGTCTACGTTTAGTTTGTAGCTCCCAGCTTTTGTTTTCATTGTTTCACATGATTGTTGCAGTCACTCTGTCGCTTTACCGAACTATCTATTTACTATACAGGCTGTTTCACACGATTTTTCACAACTTATCCGACAAATCTTAACCACATATGCACTGTTACGAAAGAAGTTGATTTCACAAGAAAAAAAAAATGTAATAAAAGTCCGACAGAAATTGAGATTCAATAATGAATTGAAAAATAAATATCTGTAATTTGCGTTCATCGTCGTGATATTAGAACACGCATTAATAGTTTATTGTAGAAAATGTTGTACCAAACAACTGACAAAAACAAAATACCAAGAATGTTTTGTTTTTTCATACTGATAAGAACGTGTAAATAAGGTTTGATCTGTATCATGGGTGATCTGAATGAAGAACGGTCGATTTTTGTGAAGTTCAATAAGAAAGTATTTTGCGAGTTTATGTTTTTAGTTATTTATTAATGAAAATGGCACATGTGTATACTAATGAGGAGTTAGTAGACATTTTGTTAGCGTACGGAGAAGCAGGGCAAAATTCGCGAGCGGCTTCTCGTTTGTATGCACACCGATTTCCGAATAGGCACATACCACATTTAGTTCAATTGTTTTACGTGCAGGTGCTAGTGGAGATTTGCGCCCCAGACGTGGAGTGGATGGGGGTCTGGTTCGTCCACAACGCGTTTTAAATGCCGAAGACGAAATTTTGGATATTGTGGAAGAAAATCCGGGAATAAGCATAAGGCAGTTAGCCCAACAGGTCCTAGAAGTGTCAACATGCAACAGTATGGCGCATATTATATGAGGCCCAACTGTACCCCTATCACGTCCAGAGAGTCTAGGCGTTGATACCTACAGACTACGCCCTAAAAGTAAGATTTTGTGAGTGGTTGTTGCAAGAAAATGCTCGAAACCAATGATGCTATTTTTACTTGTAATGGGATAGCCAATCTTCAAAATACACACGTTTGGTCCTTTGAGAAACCTCACGCAGTGGTCCAGACACACTTCCAACATCGTTTTTCTTTAAACGTGTGGGCAGGTATTGTCGATGAACGTCTAATTGGACCGTTCATGTCGGATGGATGGTCACCAGTATTTCGAATGTCTTCGGAATGATTCGCCGGTCCTTCTTGAAGATGTGCCATCGGCGGTCCGAGCACGGATGTGGTTTCTGCACGATGGGGCACCTCCGCATTTTCCTTTGGAAGTTCGTGATTTTTTTGAATCAGGTATACCAGATGCGCTGGATCGAAAGGGGTGGACCAATTGCATGGCCTCCACGGTCTCCCGATCTAAATCCTCTGCACTTCTTTTCATGGGGATACTCGAAAAATATTTGAATTAGTGCGCCGAAATTGGATTAGACGCGCCCAAGCTTGCATTGCAGTCAGTGGAAACAATTTTGAACAGTTTTATAAGTAAGTGAACTGTTTAACTGTGTTATTTTATTATCTCGATTTCTGTAGGACTTTCATTACATTTTTTTTAAATCAACTTTCGTAACAGTGCATATGTGGTCAAATTTGTCGGATAAGTTGTGAAACACCCTGTATCTAGCACTCCACTTTTTTGACGATCATGGATCTATGCTGACTTAGTTTGTTTTGCGCTTTTGAAATATGTTGAAATACAGGTATACCGTGTTCTATGTGTACAAACGAATTATTATAATATTAACAACTAAATATCAGAAAAAAATTGTTTCAGAATAGTTGAGGACTCAGAATTCCAGAAGGTAATGGGCGACTATGACGAACTCTTCCACAGAGTTTGGAATGAACGAGAACACCTTTTAAATAAAAACGAAACCTTAGAACGACACGTGCAAAATCTAGAAGAATCTTTCAGTAACTTACTGGACAAACTTGCTAAGTCGCGCATGGTGATTGAAAACCTCATGGAAAATCAAGAAGTCATGAAAAGTGAACTAACTCAATACAAGGACACCATACATGTACTCGAGGAGAAGTATAATTCGCTGAAAAAATATTCTGAAAGCAAAATAGCTGAAGCCAACTCAGATATCGAAACTAGGGAAAAGGGGAATATTCAGGAGGTAGCGATGTTGAAGGCTAAGATATTACAGAGCCAGGCAAAAATAAATGAACTAGAAAAATACGTGAAGTTCGAGGATATCTCCAAGAGACAATCCATGTTTGAGCCACTCAAAAGTAATATAACTAAGTTTTGAAGTGTATATTTGTGATGTACGTATGCATAAACTGGCAGAATATACACTTTTCACATCCATTTATGTTTTTAATTTATCAGTGGCTAGCACTATACAGCTCGCGGGTGGCAAGCAATTATACTATTTTACTGGTATGGAACCATTCAAGTATTACTTAAGCACTATTGGGGGGGGGGTCGCTTTGCTCATTTTTGATGACATAGGAGATGGGGTCTGGATGATGATTACGGGAGCCATATTGATTTTTTTACTTTTTAGTATTCTGTACAAAATTTGGTCGATTTTGATTTGAACACATGGAAACCCTGCTTGACAGGCGCCCGCAAGAGCAGGCGTGGGAGCCCTACCCCCCAGGGAATTTGGTTGGACCTTAAAATTTTATGGGATCGAACTTCCGCCCCGCGGTTGTGCAATCCTCTATCCATTCTATCACACCACGACGTCTCTTGCTCTGCTGGATCTTTATACCACTATACTTGACACTGATAAATATTAAGCAACCGTTGCCTGTACATTAAACATAAACAATCAGAATAATCTTGAAAACTATACAAGATACAATGTTGAAACTTTAAATAATACCTTTACGAGTAATACGCGCATATTATATTGCCTAATTCTTCATAAGATGATTTCGCTAAAATTCGTTGATATTTTGTGATTCATATCGGCGAGGTAAGTTCCTGTATTTTGCTGTGAAATGTCCTTTGAACTAACCTCTGCTATCGACGTCAATTTGAGAAATTTCAAGTATCTTCTTGACACTATCGAAGACCTGCATTTTGACTAGGTTTTCGGCCAAAACTTGTTTGCTATTAGTCGGATCTTTTTATGTGTAGGTCTCGTAAAATTCCCACAAAAATTGGTCTACCCATTTTATGCGTTCATGTTTCAAATACCCTCTTGAACAACTTGCATCTGTAAAACCAAGCTTACAATTATTTCGCAAACCAGGGGAATGTTCGTCTAATATGATTAGACTAATAGGTCGCCAAGCCAGGGATTATTTTATGGAGATCATCCCAGGGAAAATTGTGCGACGTATATGGTCGGCTTTAGAGAGAAATCAAACAAATGTTTTAATAAAAATAATTCACCGAATCACCTTTGTGATTCGTTTGTATCTGCCACACCCATCATTGTCAAATCAGCTGTTTTTGAAGTTTCAGGTTATACTTTTGTATTTACATTTGTTGAAGTGCCTATTTTTTACCTTGCAAATATTGAAAAATGGGGCCATCATCAGACTATTACAGCCCATCGTTGGAAATTAGAAAACTGCCCCCAAGGCATGTCAAAGAACTTACTTTAATGCTTGAGACTCATGAACTTTGGAAGCGTGTTATGTCTATTATACCAAAGAAACTGGAAAAAGAGAACTTTAAATGTGATATCACACCACATAATCCAAGGAAATACACATCAGAACATTTCAGGTAAAATATAATATTCAACTCGCAAAATACCTACGAAATTAAAAACCCTTAAGGCACTATTCCCACCAACTGGCAAACAGATTTCAACTCATTGACTTTCGGTTGCATTACTTTTGTGTTTCCACTGAAGTAATTTCCAAGAAACTGGCAGCATCATTTTGAGGTTGAACCATTATACATACTAATAAGAAAACAAAGTATAAAAAATAGGCTATTTGGTTTCAACATGCCAGCAAAGTCACACAAGTAAGGTGTTTTACAAATAAAATCTAGCCAAATGAATTAGCATAAGTAGTAATTTTTGTCTACCAAAATAGACGGCAACTACCCTTGCAATGAGGTATCAGTAACTGGTTGCATTGCCATCTCTCTGGTGAGAATGATTGTTTTTTAATAATTATATGTATCCCTTGAATCAGGCAGTGGTCATGTTGTCGGTTGCTCTTGGTAAGAATGGTGTCCAAAACAGATAAGGATGCTGGGCAATTATCCAAATTTAGACTTTCAATATATAATGAAATTAACACCTGTAAAAAGACTTGTTTTAATGATTAAATGTCCATGTTTTTGATGCTAGACTAATAGAAAGGGAGACAGATCAAACCCATCGGCCCTCAACAGAGATACTCTTTGAAGAATGGGGTACATCAGGACGAGTTAGGCCTAGTTTAGGCCACCTATTGTACCTTTTGACAAAATTAAAGCTGTTTAGAGCTGCTGACTATGTTGCTGAAACTTTGCTGAATCAGGAGAAGCCTCCTAGGCCTGAAATAGGCCCTGGTGCTCCAGTTCCTATTCCAAAACCAGTTGAGCAGCACAAAAATCCAACTGATGAGAGGGAGATTGAAAAAATATTGGATGAGATTGATTATCCCGCTCAAGTAAGTAAAATATTATTTGAGAATGAAACTCTAAGGCACTGTTCTCACATTAGCAAATAGATGGCAACTCATTATTGTCTTTTGGTTGTTGATTTTTTTATTCCAAAAAGGAACTGTGAAGGAATTGGCAGCCATATTTTTGAGTTGTGGAAAAAGCCTCTGACTAGAACTAGACAGGGAAAACCAAATTTGTCTGATGGCTTGAGTTCAATGTGTACGAGTGAGAAGCGCGAGAAGTGTGTATCAACACATGTTAGAAAGAGATAGAAGCCGGTAGAAGGTCATCACCACATCGCCTAGCGACGGTGACGCAGAACGTCGTGTAATCTGCCGCGATGCCAATATGTAACGCAGTGAAAGCCGTTTTGAAGCAGGAAGACACTTCCCTTATAGTGCTAGATGGCTGCTGACCAAAATCGTTCAACTCTGATCATGGATGTGGAAACATTACCTTGGAATGTACAGGATGCTGTGTTATCAAACGAACCAATGGAATGATTTAGAATTTGTGGCGATCCCTACCTTTCATTTCGACCTAAACTGGAGGACATTAGGATCGATTGGGAATCAATCCTAAACAGATTCGACACAATGCACAATTCAAAAATGTGTACGATCGAAATAAAATTATTTGGGCGTAATTGATTTTAGCTTCAGCGTTGCTAGGCAACGCGGTGATGAGCTTCGCTATCCAGGCGGCTTCTGTCTCTTTCTATCATATGTATCTATACACAATTGTCTCTCCTACACATTGAACTCAAGCCATGAGACAAATTTGATTACCAGTGTATACTTTCTAATAAGAAGTTGACACATCAACTATTTTGGTTCTAAAAAATCCTGATTGAGACAAAAATCGCACAAGTAACGTATTTCACAAATAAAATCTAGCCAGATTGTATATTTACCAAAAAAACACATAATATGTAACAAGTATACAGTACTAATTGATATAACAGTCTGTAGCAATAATTATTGGTTGTTGAGTTATGAGTGAGTCAGTGTACAAATATGGTCAACTTTTACAACTTGCCAGTCCGCCATTTTGAAAGAGGTGTTACATTCAAGTGTTATGTAGTTCTACTCATAAGAACCTTCAAAAATAAGTATCACATGGCCTCCTATACCATTAGAAAAATGTGCAAACTTGAAAATTGCTACTTTTACGGTAAAATATAGTATTCAAGCATCAGTTTTCTTGCCCCGACTTTTAGCTAACTTGACCCGGTCAAAAAATCGGTAAGGGGGGACCTCAAAACTACTGCAAGTGCATTAGGAGATCCGCGGTAACATATTTCTTGAGTCCTACTCTACTACTCCTACACTATTAACTTGCTTGTGACACTTCTTATATCATCTGTAGTTCTCCAAGAAGGTTTCCAACACATCCTTAAATTGAATCACTGCAAAGAACACAAAAACAATGGAAATGTACTTTTATCATATAATTAATTAATTTTTGATATGACTGACATCTTTCACTAACTGTTGGGAAATTGCAAACTAACTGACAGTGACAGTGCCAGCAATTGTTAGTCAATTGGTCATGTTGCCGTATTTATAGTGTGAATGCTTGTATTTGAATACATGTACTGAGTCGGGTTGCCATCAAGTTGCAGCCGCCAGTTGCATTCGGTGAAAACATACCCTAATAAATTGTAATACTTTGTCAGGCAGTCAATAGAATAAGAAGTAACTCTCAAGGAAGCAATAAGTCTAAGTCTCCACCTCCCGCAGCTATACCAGAAATAGTCATAACTCCAAATGAAGAATTCGTCCCAACTTTTCCAACAAGGTTTGTGACACAACGAGAAAAACCGGTGTCAGACATGATAAAATTCTCCACAGACACAGTTGAGAGTGAAAGTAGTATCTATGAAGATTCTGACAGTACTATATCAAACAATCCAGGAATTGTTTCAGATAGTAATAATGTGACTCAGTCAACAAGTGACAATGAAACCTCGGACAGCTATTCATACAACCAGGGTAGGACATTTTTTGACATTTTCAGTTATAGAAAGTGTGTAGGTTCTTCAATTCATAAATGTTTCATTTAATAAATTCCAGAAACTGGGGATGTCTGTGTATCTGAAAATATACCAAGATTATCTCAAATTCTACCATCAGAAAAAATTAAACCCAAAGCACGTGTCAGCTTTGCAGACACTACAGACAACAATAAAGACTCGGATAGTTCTGAAGATGACAGCCTCCCCAACATACCAAATTTAGAAGCAATCATTGGTCTAGAGAAAACCCACATGTAAGTTCTTAAATGCAAATATTTCAAGCATTATTTTTGTCTGTTATATAAATTATTTCGTAACCAATTTCACCGTAATTTTTATTTAAAAAATTTCCAGTAAGGAGCCACCAAGTGATAAACCAATCTCACCATTGCCAAGTTTGAGTCTCAATACAGCATTGCCACATCTCAGTTATTCTGAGCTTGAAGTTGCTACAAATAATTTCGATGAATCCAGGTATGCTCATTTTTAGTCCACTAGCAGAAAATTAGATGTATCCGTTATCTTCAATTTTCATTTTCATTTTTTTTTCCTATAGCATTGAAGAAAGTGGTAGACTCTTAGGCAAAGGTAGTTTCGGAACCGTATTTTTAGCCCATGGTCTACTCAATAAACCTCTAGCTGTCAAAAAACTGACATTAGAACTGAATAATAGTGAAGTGGACAACGAAATAGATACAATAACGAAACAATTCACGAATGAAATAGAAAGTCTCAGCAAATATAAACATGAGAATTTACTGGAACTGCTAGGATACTCTTGTGATGGAAATACATACTGTCTCCTATATGAGTATATTACAGGAGGAACACTGAGGTACAGATTGAAGGTGAGAGCTTTCTGGATTACTAAAGCGATCAAGTCGTTTAAAAGTTAGACCCATTTTTCTGTATGATTTTTAGCGTTCTGATCACTTCATATTCACTTGTAGTCGCTGTGTTTGTGGTCTAAACATAAAGATACTGGAGCCATGTGCTGTGGCCGTGATGTGATGTATCATTTGGACCTGATTCAGAGATGGCACTATCGGAGGCTACTTATAGCTTATATGTCCTGAGTTCTATACTATAGCTCGTTGTGCCATTTCTCCATAGGTGGTGCTCACAGCGAGTAGGCGTGGCATGAGCTTGCGGCTACCTGAGAAGCAGTGCGATCAGATCGCTGTCATAGCGATTATTTTACAAAATACTGGTGCCGATTTTAGTGAGGTTTTTTGATCAAGTCGCAACACGAAATTCACTTGAAGGTCGAAGGTTAAATAAATCATGAAATACCATTCCTAGATGATGACGCTACTCTGACGTTTCACACATAAACTAAAATTATGCGTTGTTTTAGGGAGAAGGTGAAACATTAATGTGGAAGGATCGAATACAGATAGCAAATGCGACAGCCAAAGCTGTGGTCTACTTACACACTGCCTATTCTACGCCTTTGATACACAGAGACATCAAATCTCTCAACATACTGCTTGATGAGAATAACAAACCAAAGGTAATATATTTGAAGCCTCCATGTTATTTTGAGTATGCCACCTTCAGGGAATTATACCTTCAATTTGTCTGAACTGAAAAATGTAAGGGAAACTAGCTGTAACCAAAGAGTAGTTATACCAATAAAAGAAAGTTAGACCGGGCGAATAAATTAGACAGAGGGAGAGATATGAGGTGTAACCCAAAACATGGCGACTACAATACAGCCGATGGCGGATGGCGTCTAATTACGTGCTGTTCTTCAGATAGATGAATCATCACTTGTAGTGAAAACATTTTTTGTTCAAATTTACTTTTGTTTGTACATTGATTAATAGTAGGCATGTTTATCATCTGTTCGCAGCATTTTTCATTCAGTAAAGTTATAAATCATACTTATCGCGAGTGATCTTCGCGTCATATAAACAAAAAATATTCTGAAAACCTGACGGTAGTTATTTAACTTTTAGGCCTCTACGCGGAATATTACTCGGTTTAGTTAAATAAAAAAAGAGGAATGTCAGCTTTGTTTTAAATTTTTTCTTACCTCAAATCGCTTACTTGACCAATCGTCAGTGTATCTGATACGGTTGCCAGTTATCTAAATAGCCTTAGGACGGTATGTTAACCTATTTCCTTTAACTTTCTGATGTAACCACCAAAAACCGCGGAAAGAACCAAACACGATACAGTTCTGTATGAATGTAGCTTTTTCTAAGCATTTTATGTCACTTCGACAACACCGCCCCTGTAATGCAGAGTCACTTATGAGTGAAACCTGTGAAACGCTCGGATCCTTGGCACAGTGTCGTCATCTATGAGCGAATCGTCAAACCAAGGACAGCTCGCTTATGGTTCGCTGATCTTTTGTAAACCAGTAATAAACTTGCATAGTTTGATGTCATCAAAATACGTGCGATTTTACTAGTTTTTATCGTATCATATCAACACGCGATGATGTAACCAAGAATTTGCGGTCGGCTCCCCTACTAGGATTCAGAGGAAACCCAAAGGAAATGGAGCAGGCCGGAGGAGTATAAAAACATTACATGAATCAAATCCAAGCGAATAACCAAAATTTCTGTATTATATTCCGCGGTTATAATATGGTTCAAGATGACACACGGGTTGATGACGTTCAGTTACTCGAATCGCTTGAACGCGTTGGTTTTAACCGCGGTTTTGTTGCAAGTTGTTTATTTTAGAAAAGCTCGTATATAATTTCTGATTATTTTTATTATCACTTAATCTTCGGTGCTTTTTCGTCTACAACGGTGTATCGAAAGTTTAAAAAAGAAACCTTTCATAATATTAATGAGAGAAATGTTTTTTTTTCAGAAAAAACATTTTAATGACGGAACCATGGCTTTGTAGCTATGTTAACTTTCGATTCCCTAAACTTTTCCGCATGTCAAAGAAAACATTCATTGATTTAGCAGAAATGATAGGAAAAAGCGATGAAAAAAAGATATTAGCAAAACCGCATACAGGTAGACATCATCCACTGAGTTTATATGGCCGTATTTTAATATTTTTGTGGTATATGGCTACACAGGATACTTTTTTAAGCATAGGAACTAGATTTAAAGTGTCCCCAACAACAGTAATGAGATTATAACTAATAAGGTGCTCCACTTTTGCTAAAACTGAAGTCAGCCTTTATCAAGTTTCCCAAAAATGAAGCTGAAGTAAAATAAAAATATCCAATACTCGGCAAAATTCTAACTTGTCACATTTCAAATAATAACCAGAAATATAAAATTACTCCTGAGTTGGGTAAATACCACAATTTTGCGGTGATAACTATGACATATAACAGCTGATTCATGACGTCACGGATCTTATAACCAAACTGATAACCACACTCGCTTGAACGGATCGGTAAATACCAATCCAAAATCGTAAATACCATTTTCATTTGGTTATTCGCTTGAATTTGATGAAGTGTCTTCTCTTTTGATATAACCACTCTTTGTTGTAGATATGCTTCATGGCAAATCAACACATCTGTTGTAATATATGAACATATCACTAGTGAAATCTTTAAATAGTTATACTGACTGGTTTGTTTCTTGGATATTTGTGAAATGAAATAAAATACGTCCATTTTTTCCATCTTAATCTGTTACTGAAACTTATACGTTATATTATGTATGAAAAATAATATCAGACAAATGTCCGCCTCTAGAAGCCGTGCAAACCTGAGCCCTCTTGATTACATTTTCCATCACTTTTTTTTTGGTAGGTTTCAGGAGGAATATTTTCAATCGCTCCCATAATATTGTTCTTCAGCTGCTCTACAGTATTTGGTTAGTTGGCATAAACCATATTTTTCAAAAATCCCCATAAAAAGTGAGGAGCCGTTAAATCCAGTTGACATCACCAAATCGAGAAATTAAACGTCTCGGAAATATTGTTCGGAAAAGATTCATTGTTTTCCTAGCTGCGTGACAAGTTGCTCCGTCCTGGTGGAACCACCTGTTTTGCAGGTTAAATTGTTAGATTTGAGGTGCCAAAAAGGTTTGCGTCATATCACTGTAGCGCTCACCAGTGTCAGTAAGAGAATTACCTGCAGCGTCTACGAAGAAGGCCGAATGACATCTCCATACCAAACACCGCACCAAACTGTGACTCGACGAAGATGTAGTGGTCGTTCATGGATGACACGAGAGTTCTCTAATGTTCAGATACGACAATTCTGCTTATTAACAAATCCGTTCATATCGAAGTGGGCTTCATCGCTCATTATCAGTTTTAGGTAAAAATAGTTATTTTGGGTATTAAGCTGCAATATTGCATGGCTGTATTGTCCGAGACTTTCATGGTCACTAGGCTGTAGTTCTTGGGTTAACTGAATTTTGTAAGGCCGCAAATGCAAGTCTTTTTTAAAATAGTGCATAATGGCGTGCGACGAATACCCAGTTCTTGAGAACGATGTCTGGTAGACGTCTCAGGGCGGTCCACTACACTTTCACGAACTCTCTCGATATTTTCCGGAATACGAACAGTTCGAACACGACCTTGGCAAGTCTTTAACTTCACCTGTTTTTTTCAAATTTCCGCACCAACTGACGAATGGTGTTGTCACTGGGCACATTATTTCGACCGAAATCTTGTCGAAGCTTCCGAATTGATGCAACTCATTATTTAAGTAAAACGTTTTAACAATATGGACGCGTTGTGGGATCGTGTAGCGCTCCATGATGAATTGGGCACATGTGCTTTAAGCAACTACTACGGCGCCACCTTCTGAAATGAGTGTATCAAAAATGGCGCGCAATTTAAATCAGTCAGTTATATATTGGCCGCCATGTATCTTTAGTTTTTTTATTAAGATGTATTATCTCTTATAGTTGTGTGATTTTGGCTTGATAAAAACGACACCGAGTCAAGACACCATAAAAGCCACCACAATTTTTGGTACGAGTGCTTACATGGCTCCAGAAGCGTTCAAAGGCAACATTTCTGTTAAACTGGATACATTTAGCTATGGAGTTGTGTTACTAGAATTGCTGACCTCACTTCCACCTAATGATGATGAGAGAGAAGATAATGATTTGGTATGTCAATCTTTTTGATAATAGATATTTTGATTGAAGTCTGAGCCACTCTGACCTCAAGAGTCGAGAATACTCCCCTCATATCGAGTAGGACTACTCGATCTTGAAGGGGAACTCTCATATGTCCACTATGCTGAAAGACTGTTGGTTATTCCAGGTAACTCATGTGTATGGTATTGAGGATAAAATGTCACTTGTAGACAAAAATGCAGGATCTTGGAAAGAAAACGAAATCAACTATGCTGAGAAATTCTATGATATAGCCGAAAGGTGTGTAGAAGAGAGAAAGAATGATAGACCCACCATGGTTGAGGTTGAAAAGCTATTACAAACCAATTTGATCAACTATTTGTGGATAGATCTGCCAGAGTAAATTATTTTTACTAAAAGAATAAAGTGTGCAACGTATTTTAATTTTTGTCTCAACTAGGTTGTGGTTTGCAGAAAAGCCTTCATCTGCCTTTGTCAGCGATTCCCTGCAGACTGTTATTTTGTGATAATGCGATGAAATGAAAAACTAATAAATGTGTGTAAAAATGTGTTTATGAAAAAGGTGAGTTGACAATTTATAGAATAATTGAATCAACCACCATATGATATCTATGTTGACAACAGATTCAGATATACAGTGCGACCATCGAACTTTAAAAGCGCGCGAACCCGAAATAGCAAGTATAGAGACGCGACAAAGGTTATCTTACAGGTATAACTAAGTAACAAGTTAATATATTACAAAATCATATTTTTAAATGAATGTCACTGTCCGACGTTTGTGTTCAATATGTACGAGAGAGAAGTGTGTATAGACACATATGTATGTTAGAAAGAGATAGAAGCCGACTGCATATCAATCTGCCTCGTTGCCAATATGTTACACCAGTTCCATGAATTAAAATGCATATTGCAAATTTGCATTAGTTTATTCTCTACGCCCGAATGATGGTTTTATTTTGAGCGTACACATTTTTGAATTGTGAATTGTGTTGAATCTGTTTAGAATTGATTCCCGATCGGTCCTAACGGAATTTTAGGTCGAAATGAAAGGTCATGATCGCCACAAATTGCATCATTGGTTCGTTTGATAACACCTCATCTTGTACATTCCAAGGCAAGGTTTCCACCTCCATGATCATAGTTGAGCAATTTTGGCCAGTACCCATCTAGCGCTCTTAGGGGAGTGTCGTCCTGCTTCGAAATGGATTTCACCTGCATACGCGCAGGGAGTGATAACTATCGCAAAATGCAACAATAACTCAGGATGTGTTGATTTTATCACCATCGGTGCATATCACTCATAATTTTAAAATAACTTAAAACACTAAACGTTTGTTCGTACAGTGGTCGGTGACTTGTTGGTGAATGTGTCTGGGATCCGGTCATGTGAATTCTGCCTAAATAGCGTAGCAGAATGAAAGGAATTTGTGTGGCGGGATCTTGGACACGATCACTTACAGGTTGGTGACAGCTGTACGAAGAGGGCTTAAGTCGCATCAAAATTGAAATAAATAATAATAATCAAAATGGTAAAAAAATATTAAATGAAATGTACGAACAGACCTGTTTATTGGGTTTGACAGTAACCTAACCTATTGTAGAAGCCTGTGCAAACATTTCCTGGTTTAACATATTAGCAACGCGCTAGATTGCACCTTCTGTGCCACCGTTGCTAGGCAATATGGTGATGACTTTCGCTCTTCAGACGGCTTCTATTTCTTTCTAACATGTGTTGATACACACTCCTCGCGCTTCGTACTCGTACACATTGAACTCAAGCTGTCAGACAAATTTGGTTTTCCCTGTATACTTGATACTTTTTCTGGATATTCTCTATGGTAATGTCATTACTTAGGATTTGGGATATCCTCTTTCATCATCGAGAAATTCTAACTTAGGAAGAATAAACACTTTTCTTTAAAAGGAAAATGGAAATGATTTTAATACATCTAATGAAATTGCAACCCAACTTGGAGACGGGGCTGTGACGCTGGGAAAATATGTTAAGCAATGGTACCATCCTCCATTTCCATCAGACCTGGAAATATAGCTTTCTCAAGATATGAGATAGTGAATAAAAACAATTTTACCTAAATATATCACTATTTATTTTCTATATTACTACCACTAGCTTGGCTAGATACATCTATCATATGCTGCGAGTTCGTATGCGAACAAGCTGTCACCTGACTTTCGCGCGGTTCGACTCCTTCAGACTGACTCGCTGCAGTGTTGCCAATACTACTACAACCCTGTTTATCTCCTATTTCCACCATACTAGATACATTTAGGCTTTGCAAAGTTGTTCTGGAAAATATGCTTTCGCTCACACATATCAACTGATCTTCATCTCCAATGTTGCCAAGTATTTCTTTAGAGAACTCTTGATTTGCGCTAACAGCAGTGCTAACACATGCTGCGATGTTGCCAGATCGTATACACGAAAAGTCTGCTCTAGTTTGTGTGTCTATATCTTGAGTATTTCCTAAAGGAGGTTGAATTAAGTTTTGTATTGTGGTACTACAGCTAGGCATTTGGTTGTCCTTTAGTTCTAAACTCCGCGTATCAGCGGTGGTTATATGACCGCTAGGCTCCAATTCGTCAGTATTTGTTTTTCCTGCTATAGATGGTTGGTCTATGCTTTGGACAGTTTCCATTTCAATGACATGTGTTTCTTGCGATCTGCTTTGTATCTGTTTTGGAGGCATGTGTTTCAGTAGCTCTTTCATTTCTATCACTGTGGCCTGATGAGTATCTGCAATAAAATGTCAATCTTATTTGCTGAAATAAGTCGACGTTTTACTTTCCACTCCACCGGCGAGAAAGTATGGTAATCGCGAAAAAAATTTAAAATGTTTTGTGGATGTTATATGATAACCATGTCACTTATTTCCGTTGGTATGTCTATCTCTCTGTCCGCTAATCCGTGGCCCGTCTATAACTTGGAAAGTACTGCTCGTTTTTGTCCGGAAGACATACGAGTAGAATGGTTTTCGATGCGCGCGTCAAAAAGTCGGTATAGATAGCTAGACAGATAAATACATATTGTCTGAAGAATATATTCTTAATGACAAAGCTAACGTGAAAGTTTACAAGTTCACGGCGGAATATATTATTAAATTGTTAATTCTTTTGGTAGCACATCAGCGAGACATGTAAATTTTTAGACCATTATAAATTATTGAGTGTTTTACGAGTGTTGATTTAGGTACTACTCATTTATGATTTCGTTTTCGTCTAATATCGCAACTTATATTTAATGTTCAAATTCAGTTTTATTTGAAAAATAAGAGTTGCTGTTTCTGAAATTAACAATGAACTACAGTCATTATTATGTAATCGTATTAATAAAAGGGCTGCATGTAGTTCTATGATTGCATTTAGTTATATAAACTATTGTTCGTTTTTTGTAGAATAGGCACTTTTTTAAGCAATTTTGGGAACAAACATACCAAAATGGCTTAAGGCTGTGCTTTTCTCTACATTGTAACTAATTGTTCTTATAATAAAGTAAATCTTTGCTAGTTGAGTAATAAATTGCAAATTGCATTTTTATGGTGGGTGTTTTGTGTAACAGTTTATTATATAAATCTATAAAATCAAGGGAGCATTTAAATATCATAACTTTTGTTTTATTAACATTGAAAGTTAAGTAATTATTGTCATACCATTTTTGATTGATTGTAAAGGGTTTTCCATTAAGGACTTGACAACTTTCTTTTTAAATAAAACGCAAAACAGAACGTGATGTGTGTGGATATCTACCTGTACTGAAGTCGCTGTTTTCGGAGGGCATTGAAGCGTCTCTGCTGTCAGATATGACGTCTTCGTTCACAGGTGCAACGTGAGTTTCGACCGTTGTTGGGGCGATGTATCTGACGTCACAGGTTCTTTGCCACCAGTTGTACCACATTCTGGCGTGCATACGTATCACAGAGTACACCCACATATAGTAGCCTAGACACACAAAGATGCAGTAACTTAGTCCGGGAAGCATTTTCGCATCCGCTCAGAAAAATATTCTGCTTCGTTTTTTTTTTGTATAATTAGATCAAAAATCGACTTTTAAGGATTTGCATGTTGCCAGGACCAAAATTGGTTCAAAAATTGTTGCAATATATTCTTAACCCGATTTAGTGAAATTTTGGGTCTGGCAACATGTAGATTCGTTGAAAGAGGTTCCTTTTTGAATAAGATTATGTATGAAAACTGAATCAGAATATTTTCCCTAGTATATGCGAAGATGCTTCCAAGACTAACAGTACAAAATTACATCAAATTATGGGCAAATTCGAAAATTGTTATGATCCCTATGAAATGCAGATACGCAAACATTTGTTAAAATGTTCATTGATAATTTGCTTCCCAAGCAGAGGAAAATATTAATCAATGACCAAAGGTACCCAATTAAAATAGGCAGTAGCAGAACCAAACACTCTCTTTTCAAAGTCGATTTCTAAATTCATTTTCTTATAGATGCCACTAGTATCTTTCAGATTCTTTTTTGGACACCAGAATACAGTATATGGTTGACGATCTTCAAGTAGAATCTCAATCAATGTTTTTACCCAAAAAATGACTCAGCCAAATTCTAAATATCCAAAAATATACTAAGTGACATATAAATCCGAACACCCAGTTTAAATGGTTTTATTTTAATAAAATTTTGTATAAGTACTTAATGAAGCATAATAAGTAAATGATAAAAATTTCAAAATGATTGCACTGCTTTAAAGCCCTTTGACCTTTAATAATGTGTGGATGCACCCTGATGTGCTACGCATTCTCCAACACGCCTAGGCATGCTTCTGATCAGGTGGTCAATGTCCTCCTGTGGCATCTCATTCCAGGCAACCACCAACTCCTCTCGAAGTGCTTCTAGAGTCTGAGGAGGACGTTGCAAATTGAGCAATCTCCTACTCATCATATCCCACACGTGCTCAATTGGGGATAAGTCGGGAGATCTTGGTGGCCATGGTAACAATGTGACATCATTATGTTGAAAGAAGTCTATTGTGACTCTTGCAACATGTGGTCGGGCATTATCTTGTTGAAAAGTTGGATCTGCCAGGGTGTCAAGATAGGGCAAAAGATGGGGTTCTAGAACTTCGTGGATATAACGCTGGGCGTTCATGTTACCTCTGATGAAGATTAAAGGTGACCTGGAACCATAAGCTATAGCACCCCAAACCATAACTCCAACAGTGTCATGAACATGTCTTTCAACAAAAAACTGTGGATTCCTCCTTTCACCACGTCGCCTTCTAACCCTGGCACGACCATCGTGCATGCCTAAACAAAATCGAGACTCGTTACTAAAGTCAATACTGTTCCATTCCTGATCCCAGAGTGACCGTTGTCTGCACCCCTCAAGGCGATTACGTCGGTGTTCTCGAGTTAAAGGGAGGACCCAGTGTGGCCGGTATGAAAACAAGCCAAAACTTCTCATTCGTCGGTAAACACTTCGCATGCCAATAGGTCTTCCGTGTTCTGCAAACCATTCATTTGCAATGGACCTGGTAGTGGAGAAACGGTCCCTTAAGGACAATAATCTTAGGCGGCGATCTTCACGGTCTGTTGTTCTACGGCGGCGTCCAGTGCCCCTTGCTCTTTGCGTACGGCCTTCCCGAAGCCATGCCTGACAACACCTAACCACACTGTCTACACTTCTTTGCACTCTAACTGCAATTGCCCGAAAAGAAAGTCCAGCTTCCCGAAGTCCCACTATACGGCCCCTATCAAACTCACTAAGTTGACGAAATCGTACAGGTCTCCGTACTCTAGGCATCGTAACCGATCGTAAAGGATGTCAAGAACCAAAATCCGCCAACGTTGATTCTTTACTGCGGCTGAAATATTCATTTTTAGAGCGTTAGTGAATTAAAAAAAAGCAGTATAAAAACCGGAATGTCCAACTGATAAGGCTGAAAATTTTTTCACTTGTTATTTACAGTAAGATAAATACATTCACCAACTTTTATTAAAATAAAACCATTTAAACTGGGTGTTCGGATTTATATGTCACTTAGTATATTTGAAAATCGTTTTTTAATATAATTCTGTCTAGTTTTCAAAAGCTATTGTAAACTACATTCTATTTGTTTTTTCAAAATTTACCAATAAGCATGATTCCAATCATAATCAGCAATGAAATAGATGTCCATCTTGCTGCAGGCACATTAGAAAACTTCTTCTGGTTGTAGTATTCAGATGAAAAAAGGCAGATATAGGTGATCACTATGGCCAGTGGAGTGATGACTGCACAAGCAACTATGTCACTCCTCACTGCTGTTGCTAGCCCTGATGGGTTAGTGCGGATCCATTGCAAAATTGATTGTCTCGAGGTGTACCTACATGGACAAAATTTCTGCTTACATATTCAGAATGCTTCAAGATCAAGGAAAACTTTGTCTCTGCCTTATTCCAGTAACTGTTGCATTGAACTTGCTGAAATTTAGTGACATACTTGTATCCTACATGCCATACATGCCCTCTACACGATCGTTCGCGCGTAATCGTTTGTAATCGCCGATTGTGAAGAGGAGCCAATGCATGATCTAAGCTATTTTTACTACATATCTGGTGCATATAGTTATTTAGATTTTTTTTCGTGAAATATTAGGTACACAAAAGATCATAAGGTCTATTTGATGATTGTTAGGCCCTGAACGTAACTCAAATTTTCAGAATATATTTATTTCAAACTTTCAACATTTTAGTGCCTAAATTGCTCTTTGGAAACCCTCGCACTTTTCTCCAGAATTTGCCATTTTTTTAATATTTAACTTCTTATTTTTACATGGGTCCATGATTGCAATACTATCTATTTCAAATATACAGGGTGTTTTAAAGTTGAATCATTTATTTTAACAGGTTGTAGAACTCGTCAAAAAGTTAATATACCAAAAATCATCTATGTAAAAGTTGCGTAATAAGAGAGTTAGTTTACATTATTAAGAATTACATATTTAAAAAAATATAATAATATATGAAATCCATCATGATACGTCAACTCGTTGAAATAGCCTCACAGAAAAAAATCGCAAGGCGTTAAATCTAGAGAGCGAGCCAAGAAATGGGTCCATTGCGCCCTATCCATCTATTCGGAAACTCATTATTTAGATGTTCATCAACTTCTTGCCTAAAATGTGGTGGAGTCCCATCATGCAGGACACATCTGTCTCACATCTTCTAATAATTGTGGCAGATTGTGTCAAAGAAAATCTAAATAAATTTCACCAGTCAGTCGAAATGGAAAAAAGTAGGGTCCAATAAGCATGCCATTTACCACGCCAGCCCAAACATTTAATGGAAATCTATGTTGAAAATGAGTTCTTTTTACAGCATCCTGATTGTCTACTGCCCAAACATGATTGTTGTGGAAATTGTGCACTCCATTTCATGTAAATGTGGCGTCTTCTCTACACAATATTAATTTCGTAAAATCATTTCTGCCAAAGTGTTCTAAAAGCCACTGCCAAAATGTAACACTTCGAGGACGATATTCAGGTTGTAACACTTGTACCCGTTAATAATGACAAGGATAATACTGTTCCTGTCATATTGTCTTCCAAACTTTCCTATCAAAAACTTCAAGTTGAGCTGTTATGGTTCTAGTACTTATTGTTGGGTCTTCTTCGACCATTTCGAAAATGTCTTCCTCAATTTGTAACATTTCAGGTTGAGCAGCTCTTGCAGCATGACCTCCTCATTGTTCTTTTAAGTATCCTGTATCACAAAGCCTAATAACTAACTTTACAAATATCTGTGGGGCCGGATGACTTCTTAAAGGAAACCTTTCCGCATACAACCTGTATGCTGCGGCTGTATTTTACTGTCACTCTCTGTATGTTAGTATTATGTCCTATAGTTCATTGTTTTCATAAACATGGCCCATTTAATTACATACAATAATCAGACAAATGAAAGTATATGCACTATTAAAAGACCGATACAACTGATTGAACCAAAGACTCGTACTGAAAGCCATACAATAACACAAAAAGTTTTCCAAATTTAGATAAATGATAAGAGTAGTAAACAAAAATGCTAAGATTTTACATGGCAGTGGTCAAGAATATCAAAACATCTGTGTAGAAACATTCTTATTTTTTTAAATTTTTTATCTTTTACTATTTCTTTTATTATGCATTTATTATATATGTGATTTTTGGTATATCAACTCCTTTAGACGAGTTCTAAAAGACTCAACTTTCAAAACACCCTGTATAATAAAACTGAGAAACACAACACATATAAAATTGGAAGTGCTGAACTATTGCCCTCACAATAAAATATAAGTGGAATTCTTATTATAATTTATTACAACTTTTGGTTTTATACAAGGGATGTCTTTTAAGTTTTGCATATAGAAACAGCCGCGCGGATCGAACGTCAGTACTGAATCTTAACTTCACTCTTTAGTAAGCTTAAATTCAAAGTTTCACAACAATACGTGCAGTGTTCTCACTACAGTGAATTTTTAAGTGTCACCAAGTCATTAGAAAAATGGAACTCAACCGAGAACATTTTCTCGCCATAATTTTTTACAACTTTCACAGACAATTATCGCAATAAGAATGCCTTGCTGAGTTACTGTCTGTTTTCGGCAACGAAGCGCCACATCAGTCGACAATTTCCCGTTGGTATACAGAATTCAAACGTTGACGGGTGAGTCTTAGCGACGATCTCAGGGGGGGTGCACCAAAAACGGCAACCTCCCAGGACAACATCGATGCTGTGCGCAAACTCATCATTGAAGATAGACATGTGACATATCGCGAGATTGAGGCGTCCTTGAAGATCTCAAAGACCTCAATTCAAAAAATTTTACATGAAGAATTAGGAGTAAGAAAATTAGTTTCTCCTTGGATACCCCACCTGTTGACTGAAGAGCAGAAAGCAGCCAGGGTTAATTGGTGTCAAAAAACGCTTGACCGTTTCAATTCCGGAATCGTGGATTTACTGGTATGAACCAGAAAATAAACTACAGTCGGCTGTTTGGGTGTTCCAAGGTGAAGAAAAGCCAACAAAAGTCATCCGTTCTTGAAGTGTTTCGAAAAAGATGGTCACGACATTTGTGTCAAAAGCGGGTTATATTGCAACAATTCCTCTCAATGAGCAAAGAACTGTTACTGCGGATTGATATACCACCATTTCTTTGCCAAAAGTCATCACGAAAAATCAACCCCAAAAGAAGAATCATTCTCCACCAAGACAATGCAAGCTCGCACACACCCCAAAAAACAAGGCAGTATTTAACAGAAGAAAACGTGGAATTATTGGACCATCCTCCATATAGTCCCGATCTAAGTCCTACCGATTTCTTTACTTTCCCGATAATTAAAAACAGACTGCGTGGTCAGTCACCAGAAGGAGCAGTTGACGCATTCAAAAATGCCGTTTTGGATCTGCCAGCAAACGAGTGAAATAGGTGCTTCGAAAATTGGTTCGAGCGCATGCAGATGTGTATTAATCTTCGTGGAGAATACTTCGAAAAACAATAAAGTCACTTAAAACTACCTACGGTGTTGTTTTATTTCCAAATGCAAAACTTAAAAGACATCCCTTGTAGTAAGCAGGGTGAGCAACACTTTCATTTTCACATAATATGCTTTGTGCATCAGTGTACTTTATTACAGATTTCAAGCAGGAAGTGTTAAGACTGTGTACTCACGTAAAAATAGTTGGCAAGTTATTTAAAAATAGCTATTTACTAAAATAAGAACAAAAATATTCACGATAGTTTGAAAAACATATTTTCTGAAATATTTAAATGATTCCATAAATGTGAAAATTTGAATTATTTCCAGGGCCAAAAGCCCTTATATATCTTATAGATCTGTGCCTACCTTGGTGATCTTTCTGTCTTAAATGTTGTATGACACAACTCGCAAGCAGTTGTATTTGATTCCCCCAGCCAGGTTTCCAGACAGGACTTATGGACAAAGGCAACTGTGCCCTACAAGAATCAGTGTTAATATAAGATAAAAATGCAGTCTCTTCTGGAGCAACTTAATTTTTGGTATAGCTTTTATGACTATCAAGGGTTTTGGACCTGTATAGATTATATTGCCTTGAAAAAGACATAGTTGCATCAAAAAGACTGCAAAATTCTTTCAACCTGTCTACTTTGCAATTACAAGGCTGAATCAATTCTTCATCCTTGTCCCCATCATAGCAAATTCTACAAAGCACTGAAATGATTGAGGATTTCTGTAGAGTTGTCCCTTTTGGAAATGTGTACGTTTTCGAACTGTCATGGCCTGAATTGTTGTTGTTAGTCATTATCTTCAACCACAAAACACATAAGACTGACTTCAATGTTTGCTGGGATACGTTTCTCCTCACATCTTCGGTAATTTTGAATTTGAATATTTTGTATGATGTTACCAGTTTTGCTTGGATAAATAATCCATTTACGGATTGTCAAATATAACTATCGTTACAGGAATCTACAATTAGTTCACCATTAATAAATAATGTATAGATGGCCTAGAAGTTTGCTGTTTGCTTATTATAATTATTTTCGATAGATGTCACTACAATCGCATAGTTGATAAAAGAGAAATCTGCAGCTAATGCTTCAAAATATTACTAATAGATGGTACACTTACTGATTTGCCTATGTCTTACTAGATAGCGCTGTACTCCGGTCACACTCCAGTTTTAAGATTTGGTTTACATGATTCTGTTTCCAAAAGTGCCATCTCTACCATAGATTATAGTATTCGGTGTCTCTACACCATTAAAACCAAATCAAAACATAAATATTAGAATCAATATTCTAACCTCACTCCGCAGCGCCCCACAACATACTTTTCCCCTTTTCCGTAATCCCAAACATATAATTTTTAAATTAGTATTTAATGGTATGAAAAATTAAAGAGAATATGGAAGAAGACTGCTTCGGCGACGAAAAATGTTTCAGCAAGCCGATAAAGACTTTGGAAGAGAAATGGAAACTAGTGCCTGCCTTTTTGAAAGTAAAGGGTCTGGTGAAACAACACATCGATTCTTTTAATTACTTCATAAATGTGGAGATCAAGAAGATCGTCGAAGCTAATAACAGGGTAACATGTGATGCTGATCCTATATTTTACCTTAAATACACAAATGTGCATGTGGGTAACCCAGATGTTGATGAGGGGTTCAATATCAGCAAGGCCACAACACCACATGAATGCAGGTATGTATATCAGTTACCTCAGGTCATAAACTGCAGATTCTAATTGATTACATTCCACAAATTGGTTATCTTGTTGAGGGTAAGCAGTGGTGGATCTAGGATGTCTACAGTCATAAAGGAATCGAAAAGAGCAAACAGTTTTAAATAAAGCAGCATGTCACCCTAGGCCATGACCCTAGGGTAAGGGTAAAAATATCATGGATATTTTAGCCCAAACCGAAAATATTGTGTAATACGACAGCAAAAATTTTCGGCATAATTATGACCATAATTTTCAGAGTAATTCTCTTGTGTGTAAAACGGCTCTTGGCAACTGTATAGAGAAAGAGGGGGAGGGGTTTCTTGAACATCCTGATTTTGGAAGCATATACTTTTTTGTCGGGCCACCTGAGTCCTTGGGCATCATCCTTGATCTGCTTCTGAGGCTAACAAGAAATTTGTAATATTCACAATCTAATCTTTTCCTTTATTGTTCTGCTTTCTAACACTAATCTTTTTTTATTTTAAGGTTAAGGGACATGACCTATTCAGCCCCCATTTCTGTAGACATAGAATACACCAAAGGCAATCAAAGGGTATCAAAATCTGGCTTGTTGATTGGTAGAATGCCAATTATGCTGAGATCATCCAACTGTGTCTTAAGCAACAAATCAGAATTTGAGTTGGCAAAAATGAATGAATGTCCTTTGGACCCAGGGGGATATTTTGTTGTAAAAGGCCAGGAAAAGGTTATTCTCATTCAGGAACAGCTTATGAAGAACAGGATGATTGTGGAAGAAGGAAAGTGGGGCATACAGGTATAAAAATATCTTAAGAGGGTAACACCACTGTAACAGCCTGATGAAGTATTTTTACTATTATATTTTATCTGTGAAAGGAATGGCAATGAAATAATAACATTGAAAAAATTCTTGAGTATATATTTAAGCAACAAAAAAGAAAATTATCAGAAGAAATGTTCAAAATTAGCGGCACCACCATCTTTTTCTTGGAACGCCCCTTAAAAGAAATATTGTAAAGAGAAATACTGGGGGATTTCGAATAAGTTAATTTAATCCTCATTTATTGATAAATGATTACTGATGATTACTTGCAAACTACAGAAAAATCCGTTTTTTCTGAGAGTTTAATTTTCATAGGAATTGGAGATGCCTTTGGGAGGAGGTTACAAAACAAAAAGAAATTAAAACGCTAGATTGCATAGTGGGAGCAACATAATTCCGCATACAGATAGTCATTATGCACGATATTTTGTCAACTTTCACTGCATTTTGTATAATTTCGTTTTGGTATTTGTTGTTTTTTGAGTGTTCAAATGAAAGATAGAAAAGCAATTAAAGAATTCAAAAAGGCTATACCACAATGTGGCTCCAGATTGAACTGCTATGATACCTGCTGTATGGAAAAAAGAATGAAAAAGCTTATAGTAGGAACACCTTCTGCTTACAAAATAAGGCAAATATCCTGAATACAACTAGCTTATTGGAGAAGACAGTCGACATTTACTAAAAGAATCATCCAACACAATTCCCTAATTCCGTCAAAATGTGCTATAACCTTGGCTACGGGTACTTTTTATGATGGGTTAATCTCCTTGGAGATTATATTAAGGTTTGGGGAAGGCATTATGAGCCTAGAATTTGCATATCGCATCTACAATTTTTCAATTTACTCTAGCTGTATCTTGCGTTTAGGCTGATTCAGTAGGCCACATCAGGCTACCTTCAAACTATCATTCCTTAATTTTCTACGTATTGATCAAGGTCAAATCGCGAAATTGTTACATCTACACGAAAATATGCAATTTGAATTCGCCAGATGAAGGTCACTCGAATTTCAGGAGCCACTAAAAACGAGTTTTTTATGTGTTTGTACAAATTGTAAGTGTCTCTTTTCATGAAAATATATTATATACATGTAGCAATGCAAAGCGTATTTGTATATTGTTATTGTTATACCAGTTGATATTTGTAGTGAAAGTCGAGAATGGAGTATGCCAGGGCAGTATAACATTTTGTTGATAGTGCCTAAATCTGAATGGAAACCTTAATTTCATCATATTTTATAAATAAAGCATGATATTTTTACACTATTTGGATGGTTTATTTCCACAATTTGTCGATTTGCTCAAGTTTTTTTTTGGCTGAACATTGACATTCCATATACCGTATATTCACCTTTATAAGTAAAATGTTGGATATAGAAATCTTGGAAAAGGCCACTTTGCATCACTTTAGTAGACATTTCACATTTATTCTGTGAGGAACTGGTAATGGCAACATTTTGTAAATCAATCACTTAGTTTGAAACATCAGACTGTCTGATATTTGGGATGTAATTGTCAAACATATAAAACCAAAATGTCTTACAATTCTAGTGCCAAGTGACAAGTTCTACACATGAGAAGAAATCCAGGACAATGGTCTTTGTAAAAGGCAACAAATACTACCTAGGCCATAATACTTTCACTGATCCAATTCCTGTATCAATCATATTTAAGGCAATGAATATTACAAGTGACTTGGAGATCTGTGAATTGATTGGTGTAGAAGATGTACATAAACTTACACCTACTTTAGAAGAATGTCATAATCAGAAACTCTATGTGCAGGATGCTGCTTTGAAGTATTTGGGAACTAAATTGGTTGTCAAAAGGTTTGTTGCAATTTAAGAGTATTTTTTATCACTTAGTTATAGTTATATGAAGTAGTAAAATCTGCATTCTTGCAGTATTAAATCCCTAATTTTGAGGTTTTGTAACTGTAATATCATGGTAAATCATTTAATAAAATGAAAGTACTAAACTACATTTTTGCATGATTCTGTACTAAATTATCATTTTGTTGAAAGGTTTGTAACAGCAGCGTCAAGAATAAAAACACCTGCAGATGAAGCTAGAGATCTCTTGGCAACAACAGTATTGGCACATGTCCCTGTGGAAGACTATAATTTTAGGCTGAAAGCTATCTATTTAGGGCTAATGGTGAAACGAGTTATAGAAGCACAAAGTGATGAGAAGTTTCTAGATGATAGAGATTATTATGGAAATAAAAGGTAAGTGAATTGAAGAATATTTATGGATATTTCCACACAACTTGAGGCATCTGAAAATTTAAAGTAACAAAGAAAAATTTGGCAATAATGTTAATCAAACCGGAGACGCTCTAGGAGGACCTTTTAACCATTCAACCACCAATGGAAAACTTTTCATTTTGTTTTTCTAGCTTAGATTTTTAGCGTGATTATGTACAGTAAAAACAAAACAGAATCTCACTTGATTGAAGTTATTTTTCTTATTGATTCTGATATCTTGTGCATTTTTGTTAGACTGGAACTTGCTGGATCGCTGATATCGCTTATGTTCGAGGATGTTTTCAAGCGTTTCAACTGGGAACTAAAAAACACTGCTGAGAAAACAATACCGAAAATTAGAGCCTCTCCATTTGACATAGTCAAATACATGAGATCAGATTTGATCACAAATTGTCTGGTCTTTGCTATCTCAACTGGAAACTGGACAATTAAGCGATTTAGGATGGAAAGGCAAGGGGTGACTCAAGTGTTGTCAAGGTTGAGCTATATTTCAGCTTTGGGAATGATGACCAGGGTAAGATATAACTTAGGTTAAGGCCACACTTTAAATGGTATAACAGCATAACATGTAATGTGTTGAGGTAGGATGTCAGGATATCAAGAGGCCAAATAGGATTCTAGGTGATTAAATAACAACACTTGATGTACTGGATTATATGTCATTTAGGAAATTGTCAGCAGAAATTTTCGCACCGTCCCTCATATGCTTTTATTTTGTTATTGTCAAGAATGCTAATTGTGAACATCTTGGTCTTCATTTTTTTCTGGAGATCTGCGTTATTATGCGTGAGTGCAAAACTGTGATGTATTAATTTCTTGGAAAATTAAATCAATTTTAAGAATGAGGGAACTTTGCAAAACGGCAAACAATTTGTATATCACTAACAGCAAGTAAAATAACTCAGAGCAAATCACTCTACTAAGTTGCATCCCTCGTAGAAAACACATCTAAAAAACAACTTTGAATCCGTACAGGTTAACTCTCAGTTTGAGAAGACGAGAAAAGTGTCGGGTCCGAGATCACTGCAACCAAGCCAATGGGGTATGCTGTGCCCCAGTGATACCCCAGAAGGAGAAGCTTGTGGTCTGGTGAAAAATTTGGCACTCATGACTCATATCACGACAGAAGTGGACGAATTACCTTTGATAAGGTTGGCAAGCAACTCAGGGGTGCAAGATATTTATATGGTGCCGAGTTTCTCTATTCACGCGTCTGATTCTTTCTTGGTGTTTCTGAATGGCAATATACTCGGCGTGACGAAGACTTTCAAGAGGCTCATCAACACCTTTAGGTAAGTCATCACTTAATATCTAGCAAACCAGAAGATACGATAATAATGTTTAAATGGCATTTTCTTTATTTTACTTCGAAAAACCGTCACTCTTTTTCATTGGTCTGTCTGTCGGTCTGTATGTCAGCTAATCTTTGGCTTCACTATAACTTGGAAAGTACAAGTCGAATCTTGATGAAATTTTCACACAAGGTTACTACAATGTCGAGCAGTAGTTTTTAAAAATATGTCCAGTAGAGGCGCAGCTAAGGACAAAAACGGAAAAATAAGCCAGTCAAACCTAGTTTTTTGATGTTTCAGGGTCTCCAGCTCATTTTGGAATTTTTTTGAGGAAAAAAATTGAGCGGGGGTGGAGGTTGTGAGGGGATGTATGATATATATCTCTATTTTTTGGAGGTAATATATTTATGCGCTTTCAACTCCGGGAATTCTATAAGACAATATTTCACACATCATAGATTTCCCCGTAGATTTGCTTGCCCTTAAATCCTGGTTCGATAGTTTCGTTCTGTCACTGCCATGGTGCCGAGTCTTACGAGTGGATTTATCTAGCTGTGAGGTATGGGGGACTGGCGACTTTGCCAGATGGAGTGTGTTCTATGTTGCGTAGGAAGTGCAGGGTTAACCAACGTGACGCCATTTTTTTCAGATTGATGAGGAGGAAAGGCTACATTTCAGGCTATGTCTCCATCTATCCCAGTTACCTCCATAGAGCGGTTTACATCAGTTCTGACAGTGGAAGATTGTGTAGACCATACATTATTGTACGTAAAGGAGTGCCTTTGGTAGAAGAAAAACATATTCAAGAATTAGAACAAGGTATCAGGTAAGTGATTAATTACAAGAAATAAATTTCTTGATTATTTTATTTTATAATGACACTATTTCATGTAGGGGTTTCGAAGATTTTGTCCACGATGGTCTGATTGAATTTCTGGACGTAAATGAAGAGAATGATAGTTTCATAGCTTGTTACGAAAGTGATATAATCCAAAAGACAACACATTTAGAAATAGCACCATTCACCTTGCTGGGTGTATGTGCGGGATTGGTACCATATCCTCATCACAACCAGTCACCCAGGAATACTTACCAGTGTGCTATGGGTAAGCAAGCTATGGGGACCATTGGGTAAGTAAAAAATGCTGCAACTTCTTTTTTATTATATGTAGGACATGGCATGAGTTTTGTCCTGTGACATGTAACCACAATGCATCTAGATTATTTTTATAAAATTGCCGCTTTGATTAGCCCAATTATACAAAGTATAAACTTTCAGTTGGTAATGCAAATATCTGAAGATAGTAAACTATTTCGGCGTTCTAAAATTATCCGAGATGAAACGAGATATCCTTCGCAATAATTAGGAGTTTGGAAAAGGTGTCTCGTAGCCAACTATATGTCAGCGCCTTTTCAAAATAGATTTTACCGCGAACTGTGACAAATTCTCATAGGTAATGCCATCTCATTTCATCTCTGATAATTTTGTTGGTCGGTGGAATACCGCATCAGGTTGGCTATCTTCAGGTAGAATATGTTAATCCATATTAATAGTATTTTAAAGTGTACGCTATGGAGTCGTTCGCGACTGTTGCTTATCGTGCCATTGCTTTCCATAATTTTTGCCATGGTATATCAACTAAAAATGTAACGATGAAGTGAAAAAAGTATTTGGTGGAGATAAGCCATACTTGTAGATAATCGAGTGGTGGTATTAGATGTTCAAACATAGCTTCATTTAGAGGATCAAAAAGTTCAGGTACAGACGTAGTCGGAACTGAAAAGCAAGGGCGGCCCAGGTCTGCCGTTGTTTCCAAGAAAATGGTATTTATTGCAGTATCTTAGTCTAAAAATTGCCTTCCTAGACCGGAAGCGTAAGATGTGCGTCCATCCTTAGACGTATTTCACGCCCCACTCTTCAATTCTCACAAAGGCATTTGCTCTCAGAAGCACTTAAGCATACATGCATTTTTTAATAATCGGGACCCTTCCTAGTCAGATTCCTAGATTCGCTCTTGCCAAAAAGAACGTAGAATGTAGTCATATATTAGCAAATTTCCCCGAAATAATAATTGTAAAGTTTGGTTTTATATAATCAAGTTGTTCTAGGGGGTATTTAAAACATGGAAACATAAAATGGGTACACCAATTTTTGTGGGTAAACTTTATTCGACAACAAAAAATAAGAAACCGTGTTTTTTGGGATTCAATCTAACCAAAAAACTCTCCAAATAAGATCTTTTGGTATTTATGAGACCTACAGAATAAGACTAGACGTGAAAAGATCCGACTAATAGTAAAAAAGTTGTGGCCGAAAACCGAGGCAAATTGCAGGTTGTTGCTAATGCGACGATAATTTCACGCAGCTACTTTAAATTCTTCAAATCCGTAGGCTTCATTCTTCTTAATAACCACAACAAAATTGGAGTCGATTGGTAAAGTAGTTTTTGAGAATTTCTAATTGTTTATCCCAAAACACCTGTTTTCCGGCCATCACTACTAGTTTACTGAGCAATATGCAGGGTTCGTTCAAAGGGCATTTTATAGCGAGATACACGAATTTACCTTGCCGACATGAATCACAAACCATTCCGAAAGATAGTTGTTATTTTTATGTGAAAAACGAAGGGGATAAGCAGTTAGAAATTCTCAAATACTACTTGACCAATCGACTCCAATTTTGTTGTCATTATTCAGAAGTATGAAGCCTACGAATTTGAAGAATTCCAAGTATATGCGTGAAACAAGTGCTAAAACCTGCATCTTGCCTCGGTTTTCGGCCATAACTTTTTGACTATTAGTCGGATTTTTTTGCGTGAGGTTTCATTCTGTGAATCTCATAAATACCTAAAAATCCTATTTGAAGAATTTTTTCGCTCCTGTCAACACTTTGATTGAATCCCAAAAAACACGTATTCTCATTCTTTGTTGTCGAGTAAAAAGTTTTCCCACAAAAATTGGTGTACCCATTTTATGCGTCCATGTTTTAAATACCCCCTTGAGCAACTTCCATCAATAAAACCAGAATTTACAATTATTTCGCAGACCAGGGGTGTTTTCGTCTAATATGATTAGACTAACGTGCTATAGAAGGTATAATAGAATACAAAACAAGAGCAAAATGGTGCAAGAAATGCTGAAAAGATTTGAATATCGAGAGAATAGCAGTGTAAATTTAATCATCCCAGGTGAAGAAAGTTGAAAATTATTTTTTGATGTTCCAACCAAAGGCTAAGCCGGTTCTAGATCAGCTGATTAGTCTAGAAATGGTGGTTAATCGGGAAAAGAATGGACTTATTTTTTCAGAAAATCAGGTCTAGTGGCAAAAATTGTTTTTGATAAACAGAACACAGGCACATGTAAATGATACACAAAAAATCTGCAGTATCTCACTCAGATAACTCACTAGTTTTTTGAAGGATTTTTAATCCTAGTGTTGGATCATTCGCACTTGGCACCTTGCGGTTTTGGCTTTTACCGTTTGCAAAGAGTGATGATTGGTTATTGCATATCGTGTTTTGTATTTTCGATCATTCGAAATGATTTTGTAAAACACTAAAAAGTTTCTTCATATGTCAAAATATATACTTGAACTACTACAAACGCTAAGGATTCAGAAAATATCGCCATCGTTGAGGTGCGGTAATACTTTTTTGCCTGATTAAGACAATTTATCATTTACAGAGGCAATTATACCGAGTCCCCAATCATATCAAAATTAAATGATAAGTGCTTTGTACTACATAAGTTGGTAATTTGTAGGTTTTCCATTTCTTTCATTGATGCTTTTTGCAGGTATAATCAGAAAAACAGGATGGACACTTTGATGTATAATTTAGTTTACCCGCAAGCTCCAATGTGTAAAACAAAGTCAATAGAATTGACTAATTTTGACAAGCTTCCTGCTGGACAGAATGCCACAATTGCTGTAATGAGCTATAGTGGTTATGATATAGAAGATGCTCTGATATTAAATAAGGTATATAGTTGCAAGTATAAGATACAATCTAATCTCTGTTCAATCTTTGCATTTTCATCTGTCACTTAATCCACCTTAACATATGCAGAATCTTTTTCCATTTTTAGGCTTCTATAGATAGAGGCTTTGGTAGATGTCTAGTGTATAGGAATTCGAAATGTATGATGAAGCGATACGCCAATCAGACTTATGATAGAATACAAGGACCAATGATTGACACTGCGAACAATCAAATCATCTGGAAACACGCTTGTCTGGACAATGATGGAATTGTTGCTCCTGGGGAGCTTGTCAAGAATAGACAGGTGAGGCCTTAGCTTTTTTAATGTGCAGTTACAAGTTGTGAAAATATGATGTCTTTTAGACCGATAAATATCGTTGTTATTTCAAGTTTTTTTCTTTTTAGGTTTTAATAAACAAATCGGTGCCAACAGTGTCAGCGGTACCTGGTAGCGCAGCACCCAATTCAAACGTGGATTACAAAGAAACGCCCGTTTCTTATAGAAATGATGAACCTAGTTATATAGAAAAGGTAATGATTCAGTCGCAACTTAATTGCTTATTTATTTACCTATATTGTATAGAATGACCAGCTTTCGGTTCCTTGGTCTTACCCGCGGAACGTGTAAGTGACGTCAGTAATAAGGTAACAAAATTTCCCAAGCTTGCAAGTTGACTGTTAATTTACTAATGTCAAGAAAAGTACAAAACAACGTTTTGTGTTAGTAACAGTTTCAAATGTGCGATTGACGGTCCTATGTTGAGAGGGGCAATGCCTGGCTGCGCTATTGCTGGCTTGACGCTGACTGTGGGGATTTTGGTACTTGTCACGACAGTTGATTGTAAAATTGACCATAAGTTCGCGGAAAAAACCATGCCTATAACCTTCCTCAGGGATCAGTTGGTATGTGTACACATTTTTAAGCATCTCCTTAGCCGCTTTCCAGTGCTTTTGGATGAAGGGTTGTATGCAGTAGGAGTGTGACGTTCCCAAACAGCTCTAGCAAATCTGCACGGGAACACAACGATAAAAATCTAACTTGTTTTTTGATGTTCTGATTTGACTTTGAAACTCATTTTGCCTTTATTTTCAGAAGCATTGTCAGGCTATCCAATTGATGCCTGATGTTGCTTTTAGGACGATGGCGCAACAGGTCAAAAGTTGCATTTTTATTGTAAAGCTTCTATGTAAATTCAGATTTTAGAGTAGACATTCAAAATTATTTTCAAAGTGTCTAGTTATAGATAAAGCCGACTACAAGCCGCTATGCACTTGCCATTTTGCACTCTCTTGTGATCTTCATTATTTAGGAACGTCTCAAATGTATGTTGTGACATCAGTCATACATTATCAGTTTTTTCCCATCCTCTATTGTCTGGTATCGATTTAAGGTGAGTTGAATGCAAAAAAGGCGAAAAAAATATAACCCAACAATGTTTGTCAAATTCGTTATCCCCACTATTTTGGAGCGTATAACACCGAATAACAAGCTAGTGCATGTGGGAGCAGGGGATTTCAAAAATGAGTAGCTCAGATGCATGACACTCTAGAGCAGTGGAACGGTATTGGCAGGTGTTGGGCAGAACCGAGTTACTCCTAGTAGACAAATGAAGCACTGGAAAGCGGCTATTATTGGAGTACAGTCCTGATGCTGACAGACTGGATAGAAAGTCGCATTTATATATAGTAGCATTACAGATTGTATGACAAATAACCCAATAACTACTCATTCTCAGTATGATACTTAAAGTAAAACAAAACACCAAACAAATCCAATTCAACACGATCACGCTAAGAAAACATGTCGAAATGCAAATGCTCCAAATATACCCTTATTGCGCTACCGAACCAGACACCTCATGTCAAATTCCATTAACCTGTTTGTAGTCCGTGAAATAGATATTTCAAAGTTATTTCTTGGGGTAAAGAGTAGTCTATGCGATATTCCAGACTCTAATCTATCTTTGCACCAAATTTCATTCAGACTCTTCCCATTTATAATATTAGTAGGGATATCAATAAATGAAACATATACTTATTGTAGGTATTGATAAGTACAAATGAAGAAGACACATCTCTGATAAAAATTTTATTGAGGCAAACTAGGAGGCCAGAAATCGGTGATAAATTTAGTTCAAGGCATGGACAAAAAGGTGTGGTAGGTTTAGTCGTAGAGCAAGAAGATATGCCTTTCAACGAATATGGAATTTGTCCTGATATTATCATGAATCCTCATGGTTTTCCATCTAGAATGACAGTAAGTATCAAGTTTGAAAACTTTTCTAATAGGGAATATGCATTTAATTCAAATACTGGTCAGTTGTATGTATTCGATCTACATTGCTACAGAATAACACTTTCAACTTTATCTTAGCATCTGGAGGATGAAAATAATTTATCTGGTGCTTTCCGTATCGTACCTTTGACCATGGGTACACTACACTACTTATATTAAGGATTCCATTCTACATCCATGGTTCTGTTTTTTTTAATATAATAATAGAGAATATAAAATGAAACCTTTAGAAACTTGACAACAAATTAAGCAAAAATACAATCAAATGCCAAATCGTGGGCGATGACGTCACTATTAAGCGCGCCAAAAATGCGGCGTTTAAACTAACGTCATAGATATGGACTAAAAAATAGTGATATTTTCATGAATGAATTATTTTTTTACGGTGTTATAGGTGTATTAACCGAAATAATCGACAGAACATACAAATAAATCATTCATTTCCCCTATGCTCTATAACTACGGGGTGATTTCATAATAGTTTAAAAAATTATTTCGTGGGACTAAAAATGTTTAATGCCCGTTTCTTCAATTGCATCTGTGAGTGCAAAAACCTCTTAAGTCCCATAATTTGATTTTTCAGGAGACAATCAAATTTGCGCCTCTAACAAATAAAGCAGTTTTAAAATACTTAATTGGCCTTCATATTATTTGATTTCTAGAAAATTGAAATTTCGAATAACCAATGTATTAATAATAATAATGGAGATAGCCCGAAAAACTGTTATGGATGTACCTTGCTTTAGCAGGAAATAGGGTTAGTGGTATATAACATAAGCAAAAGGAATATAATCATATTTTTCATTGCTTATTATTATTATTTTAATTTTACATGTTTTAATATTTTTAAGGTACATAGGGAAACTCGGGAAAAGTGTACAATTGGGAAAGTCGAACTTCCCGTTTTACATCTACAAATCGACGGTCGTGAAAAAATACATAGACTTATTGTGCCTATTTCACTACCAGGCATCAAAATATCTTTATACTATCGATCCACACATATATTTAAAATATTTAGCGTATGTTTAAGGATCCCTCACTTACACAAATTAGGGTTGAATCAATGGTTTTGATAAGAAATCAGAAAACATAAACAAGCCATGAGGATTGCGAGTCAATGATTTTGGTAGAAAACAAGAAAGTGATACCGAGTAAAACGGATAAAAGACTTACGATGTTTTTTTCTGAATGTAGTGTTATTTGAAGGGAAATGAATTCAGTGACTTACGAGGTTTTTACCCAGAATACGCATCTACCTTTAATGAAGCGTTTTCAGTAAAAAAAGCATGTTGGCAAAAACATGGACTCAAGTGTTTTTTGCACTGATTGATTCCATTGTTATCTACATTATTTTAGTAATTCGTGATTTTTATTTTTTGTAGGTTGGAAAATTGATAGAACTTCTATCAGGCAAAGCGGGTCTAATGGAAGGAAAATTCCATTATGGTACCGCTTTTGGCGGCTCAAAAGTGAGTGATGTGAGTGAAGAATTGGTCAGACATGGTTTTAACTACCAAGGCAAAGATGTTTTCTACTCTGGAATCACTGGTGAACCATTGGAAGCCTACATATACAGCGGGCCTGTAAGTACTTGCTATAAACCAATAAAAAGAGATATTGCGAGCTATTCAGGTGGTTATATGGTATATTGGTTCAGTGCGTCTGTTTCTTGACAAGACTCGATTTTTAACTCAAATCACTAAGGGCCAAGTTTAAAATTAGTCCCAAACTTCGCCCTTTTGTTACTTTTTTCTCGCAAATAAAGACACATTATTATTGACTCAAGCACCGTTTAGGGGTAGCACTGATACTACGACCCCCCTCCCATCGCCCCCGAGAATCCAGTTGCACCTTCAAATTTGCATAATCAACATGATTTAGTGTACAATTTTGGGGATATTGTGGATAAGCCTGCCGTCATGAGAAAATTGGCTATCCCCGCTCTTCAAAACGTTTTGGGGGCAGGTATAACCTTCACAAAAAGTTGTCTCTTACGTTGATTGGCTCCTCTGAGAAAAATTACATAAGGTGCCCATGCATTGAGCTAATGTGGGTCTTTTCATTCCCGAAGATGCTTCAACGTCTAATTCGATAACATGCTGCACAAGTGCGCATGGATTCATGCATGATACTCGTACTATAGCTCCCAAACCATAGATACCTATAATATGATTATTATGTTCAGGTATACTACCAAAAGTTGAAACATATGGTGCAAGATAAAATTCACGCAAGAGCTAGGGGACCAAGAGCTGTGTTAACAAGGCAGCCAACAGAAGGAAGGAGCAGGGATGGCGGATTGAGGTTAGGAGAGATGGAGAGAGACTGTCTTATTGGTAAGCAGCTTTTCATTTGATTCGCCTTTCTTTGCTTATTCCGAAAACACACAGTGTTCTTCATAGATATCTCTCTGTCAAACCCAACCATGTTGAATATCTCGACTGTAAAGCCTTGATAGATGGCGCACTTACCTAGCAACTGGATTGATATTTCATCATATTCCCAGCGTTTGAAGCAGGACGAATCTTTTTCTATTCCCATAAGAATAAAACGAGCTACCCACGGGCGAGTCAATTCTTCTATCGCTAGATCACCAGAATTTGCTTCGTCGATGGGTAGCGTCAATTGTAACATTTGTATTAGAAGAACGCTGATATCAAATCAATTTCTTGCAGGTTATGGGGCAAGCATGATGTTAATAGAACGTCTGATGGTATCCAGTGACCAATGTGAGGTAGACGTCTGCAACGCCTGTGGGCGTCTTGGGTACTGTGGATGGTGCAACAGCTGCAAAAGTTCAGGGCAAGTGAGTAGCATCACGATGCCTTATGCTTGCAAACTGCTACTGACAGAGCTGCAGGCTATGAACGTCACAGCCAGGCTGACATTGACACCTTATTGTGAGGAATAGCATGTGATTATGTATTTTATATTTTATAATTTATTGTTAATAAATGTTTTAAATTGAGAGCCAATGTTTTATTATCTTATACCTCACAAGATACTGTCTACAAAATCGTCAATCCGAGAATAAAGCTTTGCTACCAGAAACGTCTGGAGGTGCAGGAAAAAATTGCTCCTGATTCAATTTTGTTAGAAATAATTATTGGGGCGAGTACACCTCTTGACGTTTCTGCGATCCTGACACCTTCTAACGGGTCAAGTTTTGCTACTATAATCACGGAAAGGCGAGGAGGCATGGAAAACATTCTGCTCCCGAAGTAATTTGGCGGTAAATTGAAATTATTAGAACAAAGACCTTTCGACGTGTCTGTAATCCTGATACAATATCTGTAACGTCTTAAAATCGTCAGAATTTCTTTGCAACATCGCTAGACTACTGCTGCTACCAGGGTCACAGAAAGGCGAGGAGGTTCTGAAAACACTCTTTGATTCATTTGGCTGATTCAAACTATTGGAATGAAGACCTCTCGAAGCTTCTGTGATCCCGATATCTAGAATTTCTTTAAACCGTTATTTTTTCGCTAATTAGCTAAATTTATGGGCAAAAATTGACAGAAAAGCGAAGAAATAAAACAGTCACTTTGATGGAAAATTCAAATTGTTAGGAGAACCTGCTTCTGCTACAGGGTCTGCAACATCTAGGAACTGATAAAAAATTGTTGTTAAAGGTAACACTTTGCTACTAGGATCAAAGAGACCGGAAGAGGTAGAGTAAAGACTTTCTGCTACTGATAGATTTGGCAGATGAAGTCAAGAATACAAGGTGAGGGTTGCGAAAGTCATGTAAAATTAAACACAATTAAATTAAAACAAGTATATTTCATCTGACATTGTACATTGAATATTCTAAAAAAGGAATGTTAAGAACATCATGAAAATTTTATAAAGCATAGTTTCTGCGTTAACAACAAATATCTATTCAGATACCATATAAAACAATACAACTTCTGACAGACCTATATTTTGAGCAAATTGTATTAATACATTAAAAATTTTCTAAATATCAGAAGTTTCCAATTATCTGCGAAATTTAGTACCTTCAAACACTTGAATAATTATAACGTATCTTAAACAAAAATAATTTTTTACATAGACATAAGTCTGTCATAATTAATTTTGACTTTCTATGGCATACCTCTATCTAAAATCTGATTATGCTAATAGCATAAAAACATAAGTAACAATAGTGTAAACTGATAAGAAAACAAATCCCACTCCTAAATGGTGTAAAAACTAGTTCTGTGCATAAATAATAAGAAATTTACATAAAACAACTCGCTATAAGCTAATATTGTATCTTAACCTATAAGTGATCACTTTGTTAAGTTTTTGCCTCTGAACTTGTTCATTTTATGTGGAATGGCTAATGAGAACAGTTTGGGGTGTATGAGTTTGGGAAGCCCTGATTTGCACTTATACAGAACTTTGTAGCCTGAAAAGGCAGAAAACTGAATTTTTATGATTTATCACTATTCAATTACAGTTCACTAAGAAGCGCTTTTTTAGAAAAATATTGCACTTGAATTCAACCTGAAACTGTTCACCAAAGATGTTTAATACCCAGCTGAATGTTCAATAATATAAGAAATGGCAAAACATCAAAACACTTATTATAGCATATAGCATATACAGGGTGTTTCCTAATGAAATGTCAATATTCAAGAGGGCCAACGTTAAGAAGAAAACGCCAAATGAATATACGCCCTGAACATCTTAAGTTTTTAGATACAGGGTGGTAAAAAAATAATTGTATCTATCCGTTAAATATCACTTCAATGAAGAGGCATTTTTTAATGTACCATTTTTTACCAGACGCCTTCGTACGGAACTTTATGTGCCTATTTTGGAGAACAATGATGGTACGCTACTGATTTCTCTTAAAATACAAATTATTCATGAAATCCCTAAGCAAATCTGATCAGCTGATTTTTCAATCCTATGCACGATTTTCGCTTAAAAAGAAAAAACAAAATGCGTTTCTCTACATGATCATAACAATATCGTTAATATGACAATTTCACCATGTTAGAGATTTAATTTTTTAGGCGAAAATCGTGTGACGGACTAAGAACATTCAAGAAATCAAATATGCGTATTCATAAATCAATACCGATTTCGATTTTTTTTTTAAGAAAGTCGGTGGCGTGCCACTTATTTATTTTTAAAAACTTTACCACCTTGTATCTCAAACGGTAAGATGTTTAGGACATACGTTCACATGAAGTTTTCTTCTTGAAATGGACCCGAAAATCGTCCCCTTAAATATTGACATACATTTAGGTAACACACTGTATATCACTTCAGTCCTATGCTGATGTTCCTCAAAATTGGAAACGTTTGTCTTTAGTATATTCCATGGGATTTGAGATGCTCTGGCTTCATATGATATTTCGCCCATTTTTATAAAAAACCTTCAACAATTGCCAATCCACGATATGCCTAATCTACTATTTTATACAACTACATCTAATATATCTCCAACAACAATGGTAAAAGATATTTGTAAATATGTAAAATTAAAATAACCAAATATTTATATGTATTTACGTATTATATACACATATATAAATAATGATAAGTTTATTCATTGATCGTGATATATGACGCTAGATTTATAACATAGGCTCTGTTAGAAGTTAGGGCCAACAGGTAGATACATTTAAACTGTGATAGAAGAGAAACATATTGAATTGCCATTTAAGGTTGTACATATAAGATAAATTGGGATTATTTGTTTTTATTGGTCGATGTCATCAGCTGTTATATTGAAGAACATTGGATTTCATAATTTCAACATGAGCTTTTTCTAAAAGAGCCTTACATATGTATAACGTATGAGTCGAGACAGTAACCATGACCGAAGCTTAGAGAAATATACGTTTTCCACAAACTTTGATATGGCTACCAATTATAGGGTTGTTTAATATATCACAAAGATCTGCTTAAAACTGTACCCAGTTACTGTTCGCACCAGGTGACGGTTGCGTTGAAGCACTGAAAAAAACATCTCATTATTTTCTAACCGACAGGAAGCTAAAAAATTAAGGTTTTCCATTGATTAACGTATTCTACCCGAAGATTGTCAACCAAATACTGTATTCCGGCACCCAAAAATGAATTTGAAAAACTGTCGCCGTCTGTGAGGCAGTAACAGAATACAGAAATGAATTTATAAATCTGATTTCAAAAGAGAAGGTGTTTGGTTCTGCTATTGTCGCATAGATGGCGCTAGGATCTGTAATGCCTTTTTTAACGCCTCTCCAATTGGCTATCTTCACTCGGAATATGTTGATCAAAGCTTATTGAGAACAATCTCAATTTCTAGATTTAGATACATTCTAATGGAATGAAATACTTGAATTACCTTTGCTGGTTTCCAGTGTTGGCCGAGGTGAATTCTCCCCATTCAGCCGTTCCAGTATTAGGAATGGCATCCTTGGGCGCATGTGCTGGCGACCCCGCCGGGGAACTACCGGGGGGTGCTGGGAGCCTACCCGAACCCCCTGGTGGTGGAGGTAGCAACCCTCCACCGTTGCCAGCTTTTGCCTTCGATAATCGGGACGTGCCCTCGTTGGCGCCGTCTTTCTTTGTTATCTTCATGTTGATCTTAATCGTTTCACCTGCAACAATTTTATCTCGTTGGAATGGCAACAGTAAAGAAGTGACGGCGTTTCTATGGATGCACCGAGTACTATACTAGTTTGTACCCGGAACTCGGCATAATCAGCGCATTTTAGGAAGTACCCGGTTTTGTCCAGTATTAAATTACCCTGCCCAGAGTCTAGGACACCCAAAAAGCTAGCAAAAAGCCAAAAATGGAGCAACGGAAATGGATGAAATCCACCATGTATTTTTTCTTCTTCTTTATTCTCGACACATACCATTCCGAAATTCTTATACTATATTCGCTGAAGTTTCTGGAGAGCTATATAGAGACATATTTATCAACAAGAAATCAAGAATACTACTAGGTTGGCAAAACTTATTTGTCTATGATAATAAGCAGATATCGCAGTGTAGAAAATGCTTGAAGTTTGGTCACACAGACAAAAAATGTAGGGGCGCGTAAATGTGCATTAAATGTGGACAAGCACATACAAGTGAAATTTGTACTGTAAACATTTTAAAATGTTCTAACTGTATGAACTATAACGTTAAGCATAATAAGAATAATGATGTTGGTCACTCGCCCACAGACAAAAAATGCCCGTCGTATTTATATTTTCAAAAACAGTATTCATCCAGAATAATGTTTTGAGCGTTTAGTTCTTCTTACTTTTTTCGAGCTACATATCATTTGCAAAATTTTACATGAATAGTTACGTAAATAATTTTCAGGTTAATGATATCAATACAAATATTGCTCAAGACGCAAATGCTCTTAATAAATGGTTAGAATATTCTAATTTCAATGTTAGCTTATATCACATGAATATACGAAGCCTCAACCAAAATTTTGACTGTTTTAATATCTTCCTAACTACAATTAATCACAAATTTGATATAATAATATTAACAGAAACTTGGAAAATTAATGATGTATCTTTGTTCTGTTTGGAAGGTTATGATACGCTTTACAATAATGGTACGTACAACCAGAATGATGGGGTGGTAGTATATGTAAGAAATGATATCAACTACAGATGTGATTTTGTTAAATTTGATGACGGTATCACAGTGTTGGATTTGATATTGAGAATTAATAACAAAAGTGTAAAAGTCAAGTTAGATAACAAAAATGCCATACAGTCACACCACATCATAATAGGAGATATGAATATTAATATACTCCAACATACGAAATTAGTAAACAAATACCTCACTGTAATGCAGAGCAATGGATTCATATCAAATATAAATTTACCAACAAGAGTAGTCAATAATAGTTCCAGTTCTTGCATTGATCATTGTTTCATCAAAAATTTTTCAAATTTCTTTCGGTACTACCGTTAATTGTTGAAAACCATATTACCGATCATTTACCCACTGTAATACTTATATCATCACCAGAAAAAAATAAAAGTAGATCCATCTCCAATAATGAAACAGTGAAATTTAGGTGTTTTGTCGATAATAAAAAACTACTTGCAAATATCAAATTAGAATCGTGGACAGCAGTGTACTGTGCAACGAATGTTAATGATGCTGCAAACACACTCATTGAACGCATAAAATATTTAATTGAATGTAGTACAAACAGAGTTAAAATTAAACATTTTGGCAGAAGCAGGAATCCCTGGATAACTAAAGGTTTGATAAAGTCTGCCAACAAAAAAGAGGAACTATACAAAATAATGAAAGCATCGCCATGTGCAGATACCTCCAATAAATATAAAGAATATAAAAATATTTTTATCAATCTAGTTAGAGAAGCAAAACGCCAATTCTATCTAAAAAAATTACAAGATGCCAAATCTGATCCAAGAAAACTGTGGTCAGTTGTTGATCACTTAACTAACAAAGACGTTCAAGAAAAACCAAATATTGATGAAATTAAGAATCATGATGGAACAATATTAACAGATAAACGACAAATATCTGATGCATTCTTAATTTTTTTCACTAATGTTGGAGAAAATTTAGCATCCAGTATTAAAAAAATGGTTTCGAACGAAAAGTTCACAAAAACCCAACTTCCCAATTCATTCTTTTTAGAAAGCGTTAGTCCGATTGAAGTACAAGAAGCTGTCCTATCACTTAAAACCAAAAAAAGTCCTGGTGTAGATGGTATCAAAGCTGAGCATTTAAAAATAATAGCCTACGACTTAGCCGAACCACTTTCTTACGTCATTAATTGGTGTTTCCAATCTGGAATTTGTCCTGATGCATTTAAAACAACTGTTATTACTCCTGTTTATAAAGGCGGTGACAGAATGGAAACATCAAATTATAGACCCATATCAGTACTATCGAATATAGCCAAAATTTTCGAAAAATTACTACAAAAAAGGATATTACAATTTTTGGACAAAAACAAAATTATATGTTCTGACCAATATGGATTTAGAAAAGGAAAATCTACTACAGATACAATTTTGGCAGCAATGGATGAAATTAACTCTAATGTCAACAAAAAGATACCTACTATTGGTATCTTTGTTGATCTAAAAAATGCCTTTGATACGGTTAACCATGTCGAGCTTCTGAAAGTTATGGAAAGATTGGGATTTAGGGGAGCGTCACAAATCCTTTTAAAAAATTACCTTTCAAGTCGGGCACAGACTGTCAAAATCACTAACACTTACAGTAAAAAAATGTACATCAAGTGTGGTGTGCCTCAAGGAACAGTACTAGGCCCACTATTATTTAGTCTCTACTTAAATGACTTATTCAAAATTAACAGTTCTGGAAAGATTATATGTTTTGCAGATGACACCCTCGTATTATATAAAGCTGATGACTGGAGCACACTGAAGCAAATAGCTGAAAAGGATTTTATAAGGATCATTGACTGGTTTGATACTAAAATTTTAACAGTTAACTTCAAAAAAACAAAATTTATTACATTTACATCCTATTCAAAATTTTTACCTACCTTCGAACAAATTTCCGTTAATTATCATGGCCAAAAGACCAAAATCGATAGAGTTAACACTTTGAAATATCTTGGAATATTTATAGACTCACATCTAAGGTGGGATAACCATATTAAATATGTTATCAAAAAAATTAGAAATGTTGCCTATAAACTCAAAATGCTTGCTAACATTCTTACAGAAAGTTATCTGCGAATCCTATACCATGCCTTAGTTGAAACCCATATAATATACGGCATCACAGCTTGGGGTGCCGCCTGCAAGACATATATTTCTGACCTGAATATAGCACAAAAAACTGTTTTGAAAGCCATTTTCCATAAGCCAAGATTATATCCAACGAACAACTTATATCAAGAAACAGGGATACTTGATACAAGACAACTTTATTTCTTACATGCCACCACCTTATACCATAAGTATTGTAATAAAAAGAAAAAATCCTATAAACACGAGCATAACACACGATTTCGAATAGGCTCATCTAATATCCAAAGACCATACAAAACATTATTCAAAAAATCATTTAAATTCTTAGCAGCTAAATTATATAATGTAGTACCAAACGAAATAAAGATACTTAATTTTGGAAAAAAATTTAGAAGAAAATTGAAAGACTGGGTTAGTAATGTGCAGCGAATGACTATACATAATTATATAGAAAACTAAAACTACAAAATTCCAATTACATTAATACCTTTTAGATTTAACAATAATTGTTATACACATATATGATTGATTGTTAGTTATTAAGATATAAACCACACACAGGCGATGCCTTCTGTGGTTTTTTCATATTTATTTGCCCATTTTTTGTATTTTGGCGAATAAATATTATTATTATTATTATTATTATTATTATTCCTTATGGCTTCTGTACACGTGTACAATCCGCCAGCTTATTTGTTGTGACTGTACCTTGTCTGGCTCTCAGCCATGTACGAGTCTCGAATTCACGTGTAGAAATGCTGTAAAATATCTATATCTTCTGCTGTATTATTTTTGGAGCTGAGATGTTGCAATTTATGATTGATGAAAACCTTTACTTATGCTTTCTAAAATGGTGTGGGGAGGTTAGTCAGACAGATAGCACAACACAGGTATAGACTTTTCTCGTACCCGGGCAACGGAGGTACATTACACACACCCTAAATGTTGCCTGGGAAAAGGATTAGCACCCAGGGTTTTAAAAGATTGGGATCTTAAACAGTTATAAAATTATTTTGTTTGTCTGAATGAAGTAGGTTAATAGGTATCTGACTTTCATGTTGATATTTGCAAGTATTAATCGAATGTTAAAGGGGGCATTGAATCCAGCTTTTCTTATCTCTTCATATAGATTAAAACCTAATATTTGATTTATTGGGCATTCTAATAGTATATGATTTGAATCTGCATATTGTCCACAATCACAGAAGGGGTCATCTTCCATTCCTATTTTGAACATGTGAGCTTTATATCTTGCATGTCCCGTTCTCATTCTGATTATGGCTGTTAGATGTCTTCTGCTTATATACGGGATTTTGGAGTAAAATGGTTTGACCGGGAATTCTTCTTGTATTTTCTTATACCACCTGCCTTTGTTGATGAATGTTCGTTTCCACATTGTTGTGAATTTCTCCTTTATTTTTGTTTTGGCCTTAGTATATCGGGTATGGTAAGTTTCGTATCTTGTGGGATTCTGAGTTGTCTTCCTAAGTTAGCTAGGATGTCTGCCGTTTCATTTCCTCTAATGTTTGAGTGTCCTGGGATCCAAGCCAGTTCAATATTGTATCCTTTTTCTGCAGCTTCGTGAATTAGCTTTCTTGTTGTGAGGCAGCCATATTCTGAGTTAGCATCTACACCTTGTTTTGCTATTTGTGCTACAGCTCTTTGCGAGGCTGTTAATATTAGACTTTCTTTTTCTATGACTATGTTGCATGCTTTGTTAATCGCTGCTACTTCCGCCGCGCATATATTTAAGTAGTCAGGGTGTCTGGATGTGTAGTTATGTTCCAGTTGAGGAATGTGTACCCCATATCCCACTTTATAGTCCACTTTAGATGCGTCAGTGTATATGAGGGTATGGGTGTCTCTGAACTGTT